ATTTCACTCTGAATCTTTGGTTCACTTTCCGGCCCCAGGTCATAGCATTTGCCGAGCACAAGTAAATACAACCTTGGGATTTCCATCGGATTCCAAGAATTGACCTTTCAAGAGGTTTTCTACTACAATGCTCAGAGCTATGGGGCAACAAAGACGATCTAGGCAAACAACTTCAAATTCAATTGATCGGCTTGGAACCAAATCAGTCCCATGTTTCCTTCTTAAAGTCTCTACATGAAAAATGAAAAACATGTTTTTTCGAACTTTTGGGGGCTTTTCTGGAGGGGGACGCAGTAGGTTCTACAAAAGATTGTGCACGCGTGTGTCGCTACAAAATGCAGTGCATGACACAAGCCATCCAGAAACTAGGACATCACGCATCGAATCTGTGCTTTTTGGGTGAAAGGAACACTGAACATGGATCCTTTGAACTTGGGTGAAACTTGACTATTGGACAAAAAGAGCAGGAACCTGGTCGAATGGGATACATTTGATTTATGATTAATAATCGCATGTAATGGCCAAAATAGGTGTGACAAAAGCACGGCGCAGAGATTTTGAACTGCAATCGTCAGAGCTATGGGGCAACAAAAGCGACCTAAGCGCACAACTTCAAATTCAATTGATTGGTTTTGAAACCAAATCTGTCCCATTGTTCCTTCTTGAACTCTCTACATGAAAAGCATGTTTTTCGAACTTTTTGGGGCTTATCTGGAGGGGGACGGAGTAGGTTCTACAAAAAGTTGTGAACGCGTGTCTTACTACAAAATGCAGTGCATGACAAAAATCATTCAGAAACCAGGACATCACGCATCGAATCTGTGTTTGTGGGTGAAAGGAACTCTGAACATGGATTCTTTGAACTTGGGTGAAACTTGACTATTAGACAAAAAGAGCAGGAACCTGGTCGAATGGGATACATTTAATTTATGATTAATAATCGCATGTAATGGCTCTCAAATAGGTGTGACAAAAGCACGGCGCAGAGATTTTGAACTGAAATCGTCAGAGCTGTGGGGCAACAAAAACGATCTAAGCGCACAACTTCAAATTCAATTGATCGGTTTTGAAACCAAATCTGACCCTTTACCTTCTTAAAGTCTCTACATGAAAAATGAAAAACATGTTTTTCGAACTTTTTGGAGCTTATCTGGAGGGGGACGCAGTAGGTTCTACAAAAGGTTGTGCACGCGTGTGTCACTACAAAATGCAGTGCATGACACAAGCCATCCAGAAACTAGGACATCACGCATCGAATCTGTGCTTTTTGGGTGAAAGGAACACTGAACATGGATCCTTTGAACTTGGGTGAAACTTGACTATTGGACAAAAAGAGCAGGAACCTGGTCGAATGGGATACATTTAATTTATGATTAATAATCGCATGTAATGGCTCTCAAATAGGTGTGACAAAAGCACGGCGCAGAGATTTTGAACTGCAATCGTCAGAGCTATGGGGCAACAAAAACGATCTAAGCGCACAACTTCAAATTCAATTGATTGGTTTTGAAACCAAATCTGTCCCATTTTTCCTTCGTAAAGTCTCTACATTGTATTTTTCCGCTTTTTTTGGGACTCATCTTACGTGATCGTGAGTCAAGAGCCAAAAATGGTCTGAGGGTCCAAGCCATATGTTAATGTGACCCAGCATGACTGGCAAAAGGGGGCTATAGGGTTTCCTGCATGGCCCAAAGCATCCTAACATAGATCACTACAAAATGCATTTCCAGTTTTCAAGTGCTTCTTTCGAAAAAAAAATGATCAGCCGCTACAAGATGCAGCGCATGCCCTCTTACTACAAAAACCAGTGCACGACTCCATTTTTTTGAATGAATTCTCCCAGTAACAGGGGATGGTATCCAGCACGTGTTCACCCTGTTAGTAGTGGAAATGGCAAGGGGGACTGACACAAACATAGTTACATCACCGACCCTGCCTATCTTGAATGAACTGAATATATACACACATATAAATATATATATATATACGGTAACTACATTTAAACATACATACCTTTTAATATACAACCTGGTATTTCATGCTACCTCCAGGGCCTCGCGGTCTGGCCCTGCCTCTACATAATTTTAATGGTGTTACCGTATATACATACATATATATATATATATGCATGTAAGCGAAAGAAGTTTAGAAGTCAAACTTCCGACATATGGACAGATAGAAAAGCAGAGGTGGGAAGAGTCAGAGAAGAGAGGAGAGAGAAGAGAAGAGAAGAGAAGAGAAGAGAAGAGAAGAGAAGAGAAGAGAAGAGAAGAGAAGAGAAGAGAAGAGAAGAGAAGAGAAGAGAAGGGAAGGGAAGGGAAGGGAAGGGAAGGGAAGGGAAGGGAAGGGAAGGGAAGAGAAGAGAAGAAGAGAAGAAGAGAAGAAGAGAAGAAGAGAAGAAGAGAAGAAGAGAAGAAGAGAAGAAGAGAAGAAGAGAAGAAGAGAATAAGATAAGAAGAGAAGAAGAGAAGAAGAGAGGAAGAGAATAAGAGAAGAGAGAAGAGAGAAGAGAGAAGAAGAGAAGAAGAGAAGACAGAAGAGAGAAGAGAGAAGAGAGAAGAGAGAAGAGAGAAGAGAGAAGAGAGACGAGAGAGGAGAGACGAGAGACGAGAGGTGAGAGACGAGAGACGAGAGACGGGAGAGAGGAGAGAGGAGAGAGGAGAGAGGAGAGAGGAGAGAGGAGAGAGGAGAGAGGAGAGAAGAGAAAAGAAGCGAAGAGAAGAGAAGAGAAGAGAAGAGAAGAGAAGAGAAGAGCAGAGCAGAGAAGAGAAGAGAAGAGAAGAGAAGAAGAGGGAAAGAGTCAAAGAAAGAAGGTGTAGGTGCGCAAAAAGGTAAAGAAGTCGCGAAACACTGTTTTTCCCATGCTTTGAAGCTCCGAGGGTCGAAAAGTAGCCTCGCTAAAGCGGGGTGTGGAGCCATGCGGCCAGATGAGACATTTTCACGCCGCTGTGGCCCGAAGCACATTTCCAACCTCAGCTTCAGAGCACTTTTAGGAATTGAGATGTCGAAATAGTGCACGCGGCTGTGGCCGCGAAGCGCATTTCCAAGTCAAAATGTACAAAACACACCAACTCCGGAGCACTTTTGGAAGTTGAGCTGTCGAAAAAACGCACGCTGTTGTTGTGCGAAGCAAATTTCGAAGTCAAACGGCACCAACCAACAACCAACAACCAACAACCAACAACCAACAACCCACAACCCACAACCCACAACCCACAACCCACAACCCACAACCCACAACCCACAACCCACAACCGACAACCGACAACCGACAACCGACAACCGACAACCGACAACCGACAACCAACAACCAACAACAACAACAACAACTACTACTACTACTACTACTACTACTACTACGACTACCACTACTACTACTACTACCACCACCACCACCACCACTACTACTACTACGACGACGACTACTACTACGACGACGACGACTACCACCACCACCACCACCAGGTTTGGCCGACCGCCTTGTGAATGTTGAAGGCAGCCGCTGTTGTCACAGGTTCATCAGGAAGTGCCAGGGAGTCTGCTAAAGAAATTGTGCCCGCGCCACCGGAAAGGTCAGCCCCTGACTGGACAAGATTCTGCTGCAGCCGCGCGATTTGAAAGTTCGCTTCAACTGCACCTGGCTTGAAGTGAGGAGGACTGCCCGCATGAGTTTTGTAGTTCACCTGCAAGAGGCATGCGCCATCCTCGAAGATGCGGAAACCTTGGAAATGGTTTCGGGAATATGGCACATAGCGCCCTGCATCAAGCCGAGAAGGGTCGAAGGCCGCCAATTGAACGATACCATACCTGCCAACGTAAGGCATTGAGAGCGAGGCGGTAACCCATACACAGATAAGACTCTCAACTATACTGCAGTGAGGTGCCCAAACAGAGCCAGCATCTCAGATCCATCAGCGAGAGCCCAGTATGCCCCGTCTTTGGTACATGGAACCTTGATGCCAAAGGACCGAAAAGAATCCACGAAGTGCTGCACCTGTCATGCAAAATCATCTTAGCAAACCTGAAGATCTGATGCTCAGAAATGCAACCCCCCTCAGGAATTCAAGCACCAGTATTGTGAACGGATGCTCCAAGTGGCATTCCATTGACTCTCGCCATCGGCTGTCCACCTTGTTGAACTTGGCCAGACGAAGTCAAGATGAGCCCAGCCCCATGCTGCAGCGACACCGAGGTCCCTGCCATGGTCGCCTGCCCAAAGCCAGGTGGTGGAGACATAGTCATCCCGGGCGTCGTAGTTGCAGCTGCTCCTTGACCTCCACCATCTTGTCCATTTAATGCCGTGTGGTAAGACACCACCTCTCCATCTTCTCCTCTCAATTTCTTGGCTTCCCCCTTGAAGTCCTGCCAACGTTTTTTGAAACTGCTACAAAACCTTCACGTTTTGCTCATCTTTGGGAAGGTGCAGAATCCCTTGCGCCTGCCACGCTTCAACTTCAACTTCCGCTTCAACTACACTACAGCTACAACTACCACTAACAATACACTACGCCGCAGCTACAACTACAACTTCAACATCAACTACACTACTACAACTACAACTACCACTACCACTACCACTACCACTGCACTACAACTGCAACTGCAACTACAATAACTACAACTGCAGTGAACAACACTACAACTACAACTACAGCTGCAGCTACAACTACAACTCAACTACACTACAATTACAACTGCAACTACAACTACAAACTACACCACACCACACCACACTACATTCATCAGTTGTGGGTGAGGTGACCACTGCAACCACTCCAAAAAGCACAACTCCAACCACCTTTCGGTCCCTCAGTGAGTTCGCTCTGCCATCCATGCATAACAACTCACCTCTCCTATAGTTGTCTATCTTTGAAACTTCCGCCACCGCCTCGTGCGGTACTACTGGTGTTTCTATTGTTTCTTGATATTTCTGATTTCTTGATGCACTTGTCAACTCTCATCATTGCCCTTTTGAACGCAGAAACTTGCAGGCCAGCCACTATTCTCGGGAACTTCCTGAGGGAAATCCACCTGCCATGGGTCGGTTTTCCATCCCCAAGCGAGGCTGCTATGGTCAGGAAGGGCCTGGATCTGCACAAAAAGATTTCCGCGCTTCGTGGACTGTTTCCTAGGCCTCGGGAGTCATGGAACACCAGGGATCCCATGGTTTGTCTGAAAATGGGGTACCCACTGGTACCCGTAAATCCTATTGATTAACCCTCCTTTTCCATGTTTCTTTTTAGAAAAGGATTTTGGGAGTACACCCCGACGTTCATTCGCAGTTTTCGACAAATCGAGATGACATGGGGTGAAATGTCCAAGAGTCAGGCATGCCCTTCCCGGGAACCACCAGGAGGTCACCAGGCTTCATCACCTGCAGTGTCGCAGGCAACATGAGCCATCGATGGCCATGGGCTTTTTGCTTGGGCTTAGCCGAGGCCTTGCCGGGTTCACTGGAGATAACCAGATTTTGGCCATCCAAAAACTTCCTGCCAGGCTGCCACGGCTGCTTGCAAGTGCAAGGAAAAGCTCACCCATCACAATTGCAAACCCTGCTTAGGTTTTGCTAGTTCCTGCTCATTGCCTGATTTTCTCCAGAATCAGAGCCTACACTTGATATTTGAGAGACTCTCGAGACAACTTCTTCTCTGACACAAAAGCAATGGTCGACATGGCGGGTGCGCGTGGTAAAATTGAAGCCGCAAAGGGCTTCTGCCTTGCTCAAATCAGCTAGCTTTGGGACTGAGACCTTTCACTTGAAATGCAGAAAGGGATCTTTATTACCCATCAAAATTCCTTAAGCCACATGGTCTCTTGCAATAATAATTAATAATTTTCTATGTTGCTCACGATTCTCAAGCTGAGTTGTGCACTAAGCTGATTTTTCGCACCATGACCAAACTGTCCTGGTGATCATAGGCACGGCATTGAAACAAGTGCCGGCGAAGAAAAAGGCTATTTGCATGGCTATGTACAAGTGTACAAACATGCAACGAGCGTCTGAACAATAAAAACAAATAAAACAGCGAAACTCTTCAGCAGTGCTCCTCGACTCGCTGAAACAAAGGGTGCCTGGCCGTAAGACATGTGTGTATTTGATGCTTCTCTTGCACTTTGACATTATATGATATGTGCTTGCCTTTTCAACACCCCGTGGACTGAGATCCGCACGTTTTCTCTCGAATCCTGATGATGAGATCCCCAGGGTCGTGTCCAGGCGCCTCAGTCGAAGTATGTCGAAGTGGCGTTTGCTGCTTGGCAAAGTACGCCATGGTTCCCTGGCCTCGTCCGAAGCACCGCGGAAGCAGAACGCGTGACCGTCCTACCAAACGTACCGAAAGATCCAAAGAGATCCAAAGAGAGGCATTGCTCCCAGACTTTACAAGTCGAAGCTTTGAGCACAATCTTATCATGCCAAGTATGTTGTCATCTCATTATCTCTGATGGTCATCTCTTGTGTCTTTAACTTTGCTTGTAACTTGTAACAATTCTTGGTGCAAGCCTGTTCCCCCGGTTCGATCTTGATCTCGAACGGCGTTTTTTCCTGATGCTTGAGAAGCGGCGGGTACAGGTGCAAGATGTATCACGATAGCATTCGCAACGGGCCTTCACAGTCCCTCCGCCTCTGCAAGAGGTACAAACATCCTTTGGGAGTATAATAACTCCCTTTCCTGCACACACGGCACAAGAACATGAACAAAAGCAAGCTTCAAAATCAGAATGAAAAGCTCCTTTGCATGTTGAGCAAACAGACTGCGACCTTAGGACCCCATGGCAGAGTGGACACAGTTTCATTTGTGCAAAGAATGAATTGAGACGGAGCATGCAGACATGAAATGACATGAAGCATGGAAATTCATGCTCTGAATGTTTAACACCAGAGGAAGAGACTTATGAGGTCACCAACAGCCAACAGTGGCAGTGTTGTTGGGCAGAGCCATTCTGGTGTCGTTTCTGGACTGCATCTCCTGCAAACAAACGACACGCCTCTGAGCTTGTCACTGCTGAATCATTGGCCCAAACTGCTGCATCCTCAGCCATGGACATGGCTGTAGGATCCAAGCATTTTCCTTTCAGAGGTTTAGCCTTCGATGATCTTCAAAATGTCAACTGGGCTCCCCCGCGTCACAACATATCCGAGACCCTTGCAGCGCTGGCACTGTTGTGGGTTTTTGCCACCTGTCCCACTGCCTCGTCACAACCGATCAACATAGATCAGCTATCAACCCTGACATTTCATGACATTTCCACTTCCACCTTTTTCCACAGTGGTACTCAAAGATGCTCAGAGGCTCAGAGGCGCAGGCAAGAGTTGCAGATCTTGCTCTTGTCGTATCTAACGCCTTGCCGAAGCACACGGTGATGAAAGTGAACTTAAATGATGCTGACAGGTCGCCAAGAAATGGTAATGAAAGGCTACTTTTCTCAGCTCGTGTGACTTAGTTCTTGAACTGCAACTTGGGTTCAAACTGGCATGGAACAACTAGGGTCCAATTTAGATGAATTGAATCGAACTTATTTTGCCGAGTTGCTTCTGCTGGTGCCAGCATAAAGCTCCTGGCAGCAAAACTTGAGGGGATTGGGTGCCTTGTTGATCAAACCGAAAATCCTTATCATGTAGAAACCATGTTGCTGGACAATTGATCTCAGCTTCTTTTGCTGGACAATTCTCTCCTCAAGCGTAAGCTCCACTTCGTAGCTTACGCTTTCCCTGACGCCGTCAAGAGGCCAAGAGTCTGAGTGTCACACAACGCTTGCCAAACGAGGTATATAGATTGGTAGACTTGGGACCCGGCGTTACGGGTCTGCCACGTCTTTGTTGGTTTCCAGCTTGAAAACCAAAAATGTGACCTCAATTGCGCAATTGGGGGATACGAGACCATGGTGAAGCTGGTTGAATGGTGCCCACTGAAAGCTAAGGCTGCCACTGAATAAATCAAAGGGATTCATTCCCTGAGCACCACCTGCACGCCAGAGTAGATTTATGTTCATCTCAGCCAGCCAGGGACTGGAAATCATGTTTTTTTTATTTTTTCATTGTTTCATTTTCATCATTTTTTTTGGATTGAAAAAAATATCATTCCCTTTTTATCCCCGTTAAGTTTTTTTTCATTATTTTATCATTCCTGTTTTTCCGCCCTTTAGCATTTTCATGTTTCTTTCCTTTGCTTCGAAAATGGTCCTTGGTCCTTGGGAATTGCCACCAGGGGTTTTTCTCGAACCCTTTTCGTTTCTTTTCATTTTGTTTCGTTTCAGTTCCTGTATTGTTTTGGTTATTGTTCCTTCCTTTGCCTTCAAAATTGTCCTTGGAAATTATCAAAAGGAATTTTTTCTCGAACCTTTTTTGTTTTTTTCGTTTTTGTATCGTTTTGGCTATGTTTCCTTCCTTTGCCTTGAAAATTGACCTTGGAAATTGTTTAAAAAAAACGTTTTTGCTCAAACCATTTTCGGTGTTTTTCCGTGGTTTTTTCGTTTTGGTTATTTTCCTCCTTTGCCTTAAAAATGGATTTTGGTAACTGTCAAAAGGAGTTGTTTCTCGATTTTTTGTTTTTTTTCCCCACATCACTGTGTGGGGTTCTTGTTTTTCGCTTGGATCCCGCCGCTCTCCTCCGCCGCCGTCCGCCGCCGCGCCGCACTCACTACTCACTCACTCACTCACTCACTCACTCACTCACTCACTCACTCACTCACTCACGCAGTACACAGAGCCTCCACACTTCCCTTTTGCGTGGCAGGCGCAGTACGCAGAGCCTCCACGAGGCGCTGCGGCGCGCGTGGCCTCCGCTGGCCCGCGGCTGCCTTTTGCCTCACGCAGTACACAGAGCCTCCACACTTCCCTTTTGCGTGGCAGGCTCACTCACTCACTCACTCGCGGCTGTCTTTTGCGTGGCAGGTGCAGTACACAGAGCCTCCTGGCGGAGCTGCGGCGCGCGTGGCCGCCGCTGGCCCGCGGCTGCCTTTTGCGTGGCAGGCGCAGGTGCAGTACACAGAGCCTCCTCGAGGAGCTGCCGCCGCTGGCCCGCGGCTGCCTTTTGCGTGGCAGGCGCAGTACACAGAGCCTCCTGGCAGAGCTGGCCCGCGGCTGTCTTTTGCGTGGCAGGTGCAGTACACAGAGCCTCCTGGCGGAGCTGCGGCGCGCGTGGCCGCCGCTGGCCTGCGGCTGCCTTTTGCGTGGCAGGTGCAGTACAAAGATCCATCTCGAGGAGCTGCGGCGCGCGTGGACGCCGCTGGCCCGCGGCTGCCTTTTGCGTGGCAGGCGCAATGCACAGAGCTTCAGCTGCGGCGCTGCCTTTTGTGTGGCACGCGCAGTACACAGAGCCTCCTGGAGGAGCTGCGGCGCGCGTGGCCGCCTCTGGCCCGCGACTGCCTTTGTGGCAGGCGCAATACACAGAGCTCCACTGCTCATCACAAATCCTCACAGCTCCACTTCTGACAGGTCCACTTCTCATCACAACTCATCACAGTTCCACTTCTCACACCTCACTTCTCACAGCTCCCTTATCACACAACTTCTCATCACACCTTATCACAACTTATCCCATCACAGCTCCACTTCTCACACCCCTTCTCACACCTCACTTATCACATCAGAACTCATCACAGCTCCACTTCTCACACCTGACATCACAAGTCCACTTCTCACAGCCGCGGGCCAGCTCTGCCAGGAGGCTCTGTGTACTGCGCCTGCCACGCAAAAGACAGCCGCGGGCCAGCGGCGGCCACGCGCGCCGCAGCTCCGCCAGGAGGCTCTGTGTACTGCGCCTGCCACGCAAAAGGCAGCCGCGGGCCAGCGGCCGCGCGCGCCGCAGCTCCGCCAGGAGGCTCTGTGTACTCCACCTGCCACGCAAAAGACAGCCGCGGGCCAGCGGCGGCCACGCGCGCCGCAGCTCTGCCAGGAGGCTCTGTGTACTGCACCTGCCACGCAAAAGGCAGCCGCGGCAGCGGCGGCCACGCGCGCCGCAACTCCGCCAGGAGGCTCTGTGTACTGCGCCTTCCACGCAAAAGGCAGCCGCGGGCCAGCGGCGGCCACGCGCGCCGCAGCTCCTCGAGGAGGCTCTGTGTACTGTGCCTGCCACGCAAAAGGCAGCCGCGGGCCAGCGGCGGCCACGCGCGCCGCAGCTCCTCGAGGAGGCTCTGTGTACTGCGCCTGCCACGCAAAAGACAGCCGCGGGCCAGTGTACTGCGCCTGCCACGCAAAAGGGAAGTGTGGAGGCTCTGTGTACTGCGTGAGTGAGTGAGTGAGTGAGTGATTGAGTGAGTGAGTGAGCCTCCCCGAAGTTCACATTAAAATCTTACATACATAAAGGCTTGGCATGTGGGGTTATCCGGTCCTTTGATTCGTTTTTTTCGTTTTTTTTCATTTTCATTTTCATTTTCGTGTTCATGTTCGTTTTTTTTTTCCGGTTTTTTCGTTGTTTTTCGTTTCCTTTTTCATTTTCGTTTTTTCGTTTCCTTTTTCATTTTCGTTTTAATTTTCGTTTTTTTTCCTTTTTGGCATTTTTTGGCTATTTTTCTCCTTTGCCTTTAAAATTGACCTTGGAAATTGTCAAAAAAACGTTTTTTCGAACCCTTTTCGTTTGTTGTTTTTTTTCCGTTTGTTTTTTCGTTTTGGATTTTTGTTCCTCCTTTGCCTTCAAAATTGACCTTGAAAATTGTCAAAAGGAACTTTTTCTCGAACCCTTTTTGTTTTTTTTCCGTTTTTTTTGGTTTTGGTCATTTTTCTTCCTTTGCCTTCAAAATTGACCTTGGAAATTATCAAAAAGAACTTTTTTCCCAACCCTTTTCGTTTGTTTTTGCTTTTTGTTTCCGATTGTTTTTTCGTTTTGGCTATTTTTCATCCTTTGCCTTCAAAATTGACCTTGGAAATTGTCAAAAAAAGTTTTTTCCTCACATCCAAGGGTTCAAAAGTAATCAAGGGTCACATGTTATGCTGATCTGTTCAATTAACATTGAGCCATTTCGAAAAAACCGTGAGTCAAAGAAGCTGAACTTGGCACTTGGCTTGAGAGTTACTTCCAATAGCGCTACTCTTAAATTTACTAGAGAAGAACCGCCATCCGGATTACTTACATTACGGATGCCAGAGCCCACAGTGGATCCCACAAACTATTGAAATCAGAGTAGGCCCATGATTTTGCGACAGAACATACCTGAGTTCTACCAGGTTAGATTTGCGATGGATCCTACTTTGTCCAACATTTTTGCGATGGATCCTACTTTGTCCAACATTAGTTTGCGATGGGACCTACCCAAATCCATCTCAAAATGATGCTTCAGGTGAATCTGATTGGCCAAGGACTTGTCTCAAAGGGATGTGGTAAGATGCTTTTTTGAAATTCAACTTAGAGATGGATTTGGGTGAGACTTATCCCTAAGCATTGATTTGGACTGGCAAGCCTTTTCAGACACATGTCCACTACCAATACCCCTAATACTGGCAGGCTGTGTTTGAGATGGGGCCTACCCAAATCCATCTCTAACCAAACTGTTGCCTAACACTCAAAACCTAGAGTTTTGAGACAAATCATGTTAAACCTTGCTAGCACATACCATGGTTAGTTAGATTTGGCATCATTTTGAGATGGATTTGGGTAGGTCCCATCGCAAACTAATGTTGGACAAAGTAGGATCCATCGCAAAAAGTATTTGGACAAAGTAGGATCCATCGCAAATCTAACCTGGTAGAACTCAGGTATGTTCTGTCGCAAAATCATGGGCCTACTCTGATTTCAATAGTTCCACTGTGGGCTCTGGCATCCGTAATTAATCCGGATGGCGGTTCTTCTCTAGTAAATTTAAGAGTAGCGCTATTGGAAGTAACTCTCAAGCCAAGTGCCAAGTTCAGCTTCTTTGACTCACGGTTTTTTCGAAATGGCTCAATGTTGATTGAACAGATCAGCACCACTAGTATAACATGTGACCCTTGATTACTTTTGAACCCTTGGATGTGAGGAAAAAACGTTAAAATATGTTATTCTCGAACGCTTTTCGTTTTTGCTTTTTCGTTTTTTTCGTTTTTTCGTCTCCTTTTTCATTTTTGTTTTCATGTTCGTTTTTTTCGTTTCCTTTTTCATGTTCGTTTTCATTTTCGTTTTTCGTTTCCTTTTTCATTGTCGTGTTCATTTTCGTTTTTTCGTTTCCTTTTTCATGTTTGTTTTCATTTTCTTTTTTTTGGTTTCCTTTTTCATTTTTGTTTTCATTTTCGTTCTTTTGTTCATTTCCTTTTTCGTGTTCGTTTTCATTTGCGTTTTTTCGTTTTTTCATTTCATTTTGCATTTTCATATTTTTGTTGTCATGTTCGTGTTTGTTTTGATTTTTTGTGTGGGTTAAGGTATATGTGTGTTTTCTTTTTCCAGTTTTGCTGTACTTTTCATTGAATTTCTCATTTGATATATATATTATTATTATATGTAATATGTTCCGTTTCTGGTTTTGCGTCGATTCATTTTCAATGCTGAATGACAAGTACCTGATGGCAAAATGCAAAAAAGGAACAAGTATGATCAAGTATGAACATGATAATATTATCTGCGCATGAGGGAAACACAATAAACAAATGAGAATGACATTTTCACATAATTGGAGAATGAAAAAAATGAAAATGATAATTTCACATGATCGGAGAATGATATGAAACAGAAAAAACATGAAAAACAAAACGAAAAAATGAAAAAACATCCTTGGTCCGGACTCAGTCTGTGGCTGTAAGATTCTCATAAGAGTAGATCCAAGTCCCCCGCGCTGCTCACAATCAATGAAGAAGCTGTAAGGAAATTGTCTTTCCATGTCTTTCCCCATAACACAAGTAACAAACTCAAAGCACTCGAAGCAGATCCTGATTTCCGCGGCTTGCCTGCATCTGCACCAGCAGCACCTTCCAGCCCTGACCAACAAGACCACTCAAGTCAAGTTGGTTTGCATTTTGGAAGGCGTGAATGAGAACTTTACACTCGTGGTTTGTCCTTAATGGAAGCTAGCTCAAGTAGAGAGCAATGCATCGCTTTGTTGGTCATTGATCCGGCTCCTCCGCTCACCAACAGCACCAAGCCTTCTTCGCCATAAGCGTCATAGATTTGACGCTTCTGAGGGTCCGATAAGACCTGCATCAGCAAGCTTCTCAGGATGCTCCATGGCAGAGCATCCACTGTGCATTCTCAATTTGCCTCGTATGCTTTGGAAATGTCTTTGAATTTGGCTTCGTCACCGCCACGGTCCGGGTGATGCCTCAGAAAGAGCGAGGATGCAGAGTTTGAGTGCTTGCCATGTTTTCACTGTGCACTAATGAATCAGGTATTTGGCAGAGATAAGCTCCAAGCGCAAGCAAGATTTCAAAAAAAAAAAAAAATATATATATCTTCTCGCCGTTCACTCTTTGAATCCCGTTGTTGGACCTGCTAGGAGTAGCAAACCACTAAGGTTCCGAGCTTCATTGCCTCCTTCTTGTAAGCTTTCTTGATTGCCGCCTGCCATCATGAAAGCGCAAAAGCATACAGAGACATCGATCTACAAAAAGCTTCTGAAACATGCCATGCGTAGGTACCTCTAGGCCGTTTTCACTTATCCTAGTTATAAGTAGGTCATAACATGGTTATAACATGGTTTTAACTTGGTTAACATGGTTATAAGTAGGTCCTAAGTAGGCAAAAGGAAAAGTGAAGTTAGAGATACTTATGATCAAGTTCAAGTAACTTATTCTACTTGTATAAGTAAACTTAAGTAGGTTAAGGATTATTTTCTTGATTGGTCCTGAAGTGGATCAACTTACTTTAAGTTACTTGTGTCTACTTGCGTCTACTTATTTCTACTTAACCTACTTATGGAATTTCCTTATATTTTTGACTTTTGCTTCTAAATTTTGCGTTTGCCTTTTTTTTTCTAGCTTTTTGCGTTTTCAGCAAAAAGCTTCGCAAGTGCAAAAAAAAGAACAGAAGTCTTGATTGTAAACTTAAAACCTTTTAGCAGAACAGCATGTTTGCGAGGAGCGGTGTGTCCGCTGTGTTTCTTTTTTTGGAGAGGGCGGGGCGCGGTGTGTCCGCTGTGTTTCTTTTTTGGAGAGGGCGGGGAGCGGTGTGTCCGCTGTGTTTCTTTTTTGGGGAGGGCGGCTTGTGCGCGTTGCTGTTTTTGGTGTATGTACATCACCAGGGTGCAACCAGCAACCTGCAGGATAGAAACAGAGGCTATGCTATCTCTGTGCTATCTCTGCTATCTATGGTCGGAACTGTCCTGTGAGCTATTTTTTTGTTCGTGTTATCTCTGTGCTATCTCTGTGCTATCTCTGCTATCTCCTGCTATCTCTGTGCTATCTCTTTGCTATCTCTGTGCTATCTCTGTGTTATCTCTGTGTTATCTCTGTGTTATCTTTGTGTTATCTCTATGGCATCTCTACGTTATCTCAAAAAAAATGAATTTTATCTGTAGCTTCACCTGTTTTTTGGGAGGCTGATTGTGGTTCTTTTTTGCTTTGTGGGTTCCATGATGTTCTTTCTGCTTTCAATTCTCTGTTGCTGCGTTTGCTTTGGTTCAGCGGTATGGCCGCTCACAATCATAGTCATAAACTGCAAATGTTCAATGCCTCTGTACACATTGCCTTCCCAAGAAGAGCGCAAACAATTTGCACAATGTGTTCGAAAAAAAAAAGATCAAGGAATTTAGTGAAATTCCAAAAAAAAACAAAAAACAAAGGAAAAATAAGCGTTCTACTTATTTCTACTTATTTCTACTTAAATCTACTTATTTCTACTTATAAGTAACTTATAAATTATAAATACTTATGTATACTTATGTTAAGATTCAAATTCAAATTATAACATAAGTTAACATAAGTAGACAATAACTAGCTTAACTAGCTTTAAGTTACTTAAAGTAGAATAAGTATAAACGGCCTAGAGGTAGGCATCATAAGTTCATAAGGTCTCACTACGCAGCTGCCCTGGCTGATTGGTGGTTTATTAAGGGCACGCCTCATCAGCAGTGCGATCGATCCCAAGCAACCTCCGCAAGCGCAATCTGCACAGTCAACAAAATTGTGATGGCTTTCACTCAGAGGAGCCGCATTGATATCTTCAGCCACAGGATCAAGACTTGCATTATGTTTCTACTTCCCTGGGGATTGACCGTCTTTCAGCCAAGTCATGCCACTCCCTGAAACTAATTTCAAATATCTGGGTCCGAATTTCCCACCCGCCGCACGCGTACCACCTGACTTTGTTGCTCATCCACAGTCCCAGTCGGATCTTTCTATCACCGGCTTTGGGACTGCAGCACGGCGCGGCATCAGGCCGTTTCCCTGAGCTTGGCCAAAAAGTGAACAACTGCTTCGTGGCCATTCTGGGCTGCCAAATCGATGGCTGTCTCCCCCGTCTCTATGGCCAAGTCATTATCTGCACCTGCCTCAATCAGCAAGCGCGCCATATCGAGATCTCCCCCTCGAGCTGCTACATGTAGTGCTGTCGCACCATTCTCCAGGGCCATGTCTCTTGCAGCGCCTGCCTCAATGAGCCAGCGTGACATGTCCAGCTGGCCTGTCGCGGATGCAGCAAACAGTGGTGCTGCACTATCCTCCCTGGCTTGATTTTTGGAAGCACCACATTTGAGGAGAAAGCGTGCAATTTCCAAATGGCCCCTTCCAACAGCCAAAAAGAATGGTGTTGCTCCATTGTGCATCTGCTGATCTTTGCTTGCACCAGCTTCCACCAACGCCTGTGCAATGTTTAGGTGACCTTCTTGAACTGCACAATGCAAGGGAGTTGAACCATCATCCATGCCCTGGTCGATGAGAGCCTTGACTTCAACTAGCAAACGTACGACATCTAGATGTCCTCCTTGAGCTGCTACATGTAGTGCTGTCGCACCATTCTCCGAGGCCATGTCTCTTGCAGCGCCTGCCTCAATGAGCCAGCGTGCCATGTCCAGCCGGCCTGTCGCGGATGCAACAAGCAGTGGTGCTGCACTATCCTCCCTGGCTTGATTTTTGGAAGCACCACATTTGAGGAGAAAGCGTGCAATTTCCAAATGGCCCCTTTCAACAGCCAAAAAGAGTGGTGTTGCTCTATTTTGCATCTGCCGATCTTTGCTTCCACCAGCTTCCACCAACGCCTGTGCAATGTTTAGGTGACCTTCTTGAACTGCACAACGCAAGGGAGTTGAACCATCATCCATGCCCTGGTCGATGAGAGCCTTGACTTCAACTAGCAAACGTACGACATCTAGATGTCCTTCTTGAGCTGCTACATGTAGTGCTGTCGCACCATTCTCCAAGGAAATGTCTCTTGCAGCGCCTGCCTCAATGAGCCAGCGTGCCATGTCCAGCTGGCCTGTCGCGGATGCAACTAGCAGTGGTGTTGCACTATCCTCCGTGGCTTGATTTTTGGAAGCACCACGCCACATTTGAGGAGAAAGCGTGCAATTTCCAAATGGCCCCTTCCAACAGCCAAAAAGAATGGTGTTGCTCCATTGTGCATCTGCTGATCTTTTCTTGCACCAGCTTCCACCAACGCCTGTGCAATGTTTAGGTGACCTTCTTGAACTGCACAACGCAAGGGAGTTGAACCATCATCCATGCCCTGGTCGATGAGAGCCTTGACTTCAACTAGCAAACGTACGACATCTAGATGTCCTCCTTGAGCTGCTACATGTAGTGCTGTCGCACCATTCTCCATGTCCAGCTGGCCTGTCGCGGATGCAACAAGCAGTGGTGTTGCACTATCCTCCGTGGCTTGATTTTTGGAAGCGCCACATTCGAGGAGAAAGCGTGCAATTTCCAAATGGCCGCTTTCAACAGCCAAAAAGAATGGTGCTGCTCCATTGTGCATCTGCTGATCTTTGCTTGCACCAACTTCCACCAACGCCTGTGCAATGTTTAGGTGACCTTCTTGAACTGCACAACGCAAGGGAGTTGAACCATCATCCATGCCCTGTTCGATGAGAGCCTTGACTTCAACTAGCAAACGTACGACATCTAGATGTCCTTCTTGAGCTGCAATATGCAGCGGCGTTGCACCATTCTTCAGGGCCAAATCTATCGGAGCACCGGCTTTCAGCAGCAAGTGAGCAATGTCGAGCTGGGCTGATGCAGCCGCAATAAACAATGGTGTTGTCCCATCGTCAGCAGCTTGATCGGTAGCACCTCCAAATTCGACCAAAAAACGAGCAACGTCCAAATGGCATCCCTTCACTGCAGCATACAGTGGCGTTGCACCATCACTTGCCTCCTGATTTGTGGAAGCGCCAGCTTCCAGTAGACATCGGACAACATCGAGATGACTGATGACCTTGTTGGGATGCAAGAAATAAAGGTGTTGGACACGCTTGCATGGTATTGGCACCAGCTTCCATCAGCAACTTCACAATGTCAGTATGGCCTCCATAAGCTGCACTGTGTAAGGGTGTTGCACCTCTGTCTGAGGCTCGATCTTTTTCAGCGCCGCTCTCAACTAGAAAACGGACCACTTCAAACTTGCCTTCTTCAGCTGCCAACAAGATCGCTGTCGCACCATTGTCCTTAGTCTTCTCTTTGTCAGCACCTGCTTGCACCAGAAACTGGACAATGTTGAGGTGGCCTTCTTGAGCTGCAATAAGCCAGGGCGTTGTTCCATTTTTCTCGGGAGTATCTTTAGTGGCACCCACCTCCACCAAAAAGCGAACAATGTCAAGCCATCCCGTCACAGCGGCAAGATATAAGGGTGTTACCCATGGTCTGTGGTCGGCTGATTTTTGTCAGAGCCCGCTGCAACTAGCAAGCGAACCGCATCAAGATGGCCTTGTCGAGCTGCTTCATGCAAGGGCGAGAACCCTTCTCCTGCATCCAGCGCATCTTTTTTTGCACCTCCTTCGAGCAAGAGCTCCATAGCTTTCACATGTCCGGCGCGGGCTGCGCTATGCAGTGGCGTTCTGCCATCTTTGTCTGTAAGATTCGGATTCAACGGCCGTAGAAGCAATTTTTCAAGGGCAGCCAAATCATTGTCCTCTGACGCAGTCATCATCTTTTGTCCTTGTTCAGCATCAGGCTCCCAAAATTCTAATACCACCAGCTGGACCTTTGCTGGAGCACAATCAAACATCTGGTCGTCCTGAATCTCGCAGCAACCATCTTCCCGCCATAGTTTCTGCCTGAACCTGGAGACACCAACCTGAGCTACCAACGACTGCTTCACAACCTTTGCGGATTTCCCTTCAAATTCATCTGCAGCAAGAACTGCGAAGGTCTCACCTGATGTTAGGTAGCACACCTCCATTGCTGCAGTAGATGAGCTGAATTCCAGAAGCCATACGCAAAATGATGCTAAGCGGAATTGAAGACAATAGATTTAGACGAAGACAGTGACACCGAGATCTCACATGTCAGGGAGTTCTGTCTCATCTCTTGCAAGTCATGACAACTTCAAAAGTTCTGACGATTAATCATATCCAGCTCAAGTATAGGTATCAGTTTGCAAAGCAAATGTCCTTCGTAACTAGGTATCATGACACGTTTTTGACACAGCGGACTCGACTCTCTTTCATTGTTCACGCCTTTCAAAAGAGTCATATCACATCATATCATCTCATCCTTCAGATGCAATTGCTGTATCCATTATGTATCATTATGGTTCATTATGTAATTATTCTTGGCACAAAGATCAGAACATACGAGAACACCTCTGATCGATGGAAGACATCGCAATGACAGCTCTAAGCGCATAGCTGGTACAGCCTATCATCTCCTCCACCTGGGGGTGGACCTGTCTCAAAACTTCAAAAATGATCCAGTGGTTTGCCATGTTAAGGCCATGTTGAGAACAAAAGTCGCGGAAATAATGTGCAAAACCGTTTGGCTCAAAGGTGACTGCTGCAAGATTGGCGAGGATCTTTCCACTCAGACCTTGTCCTGGGAAACCACCAGCACCAAAGGGAAATTGGCCAAAGCCTCGGCTTTCACACTTTTGGTTTACAGTCTACAGTATTTTTTGTGGATCAATTGGGAACATGATGGGAGTATGATGGCATGATGGCACAAACTTACTGCGTGAGATCTTTCCTTGATTTTTCTTTCTATATTTCTAGTGATTCTAGCACAACAGTCATGAAAGCATGGCGGTCACCTCGCACCTGCAAACGCTCGCCGCCCTTGATGGGACCAGCTTGGACCCCGCCTCCACTCAACAAAATGGAGCTCCATTTTTGTTGGATGATTATAAGATGCGTTATCATTGTTGAACGGACCATCAGTTCCTCAATAAATTTCCAAAAAATGAGGTATGTTTCAGACAGACCCATAAAACCCATTAAAGTCCCAATATGTCTGAGCTGTACTGTGCCAAGGAAAGTGGCACAGCAAATCCATGGCCTGCCACAAACTCTGCGGGGCAAGGCCTTGGGGCGACAACCGCGCACAACCCAGCACAACCCGGCTTGCCTTTGAAGTGAAAAATATCCTACCGGTAGTGCAATCAGAATGAAGGGGACGCAAACTATTATTCAATAGGATGAACTAAAATATGATGGAAAAGAATTGAGATGGATTAAGTAAGCAATGCTGGAGCAAATGCAGTGTGGAACTGAGCCAACCCTCGGCAAATCCCAAAAGGGAAAGAATGTGCCACAGAAGGATCAGCTGGGATAGCCCGGCCGAAGCTCTGGGGCAAGGTCTGGAAATGGAGCGAGAATGTATCAATGTATCAATGTATCGATCAATACCAATTGAATCCCAAATTGAATCCAATTCTTTTTGCTTGTGATATTATTTGATGCTCTACGCAGCTCTTACTGAGTATTAGAACCCATCACTTGGAATGCCTGTCATTTCAGTTCCTTTAAACCCTTGCAGCTTTGAAGGAGCACATGTTTTGAACAAACTGGCTCAGAGAAGCACTCTGACCAAAGTGGATGAGCATGTTGACATAGCCTCAGCCTGCATTGCTCACGCAGCTGCGGGAATGACCGCAGACATTTTTGCAACTAGGATTCTACTGCGTGATTCCCAATTATGCCAAGGGGTGGTTTCAGGACAGGATACTGTAGTTGGTTGGCATCAAGCGAAATGCACCCAGGATTCATGGTCAGCTCATTGCCTGAACTATAGAAATATGTTTGCCTTCAAAAAGTCTCACGACCTCTGACAATACCACATCGCAATCTGCAGTATCTTAACTGCAATTCACCAACGACGGATCGGTTTCCAACCCGGCCTCCGCAGACTGGGCAGCCAGGTGTCTTAAAGAATTGCAAAGCGTCGCTTCTACGATCCCTGCTGTAGACTCTAAACAGTAGGTGCATGGATATGACATGATATGACCTCATCCAGTTGCATTTATGTTGTATTCAGTTGTGGCTCAGCATTGCTGACCCCGAAGGTATCTGCTTGAAAGAAACAGTGATAACAACGCAACAATTGCGATATATTTTGAAGTGCCTTAGCTCTTGACTTGTAGTCAGGGGTACGGGGGATAGTTGCCAGAATAAAAAAGGCTAGGCTGGAGTGCTTCAAGTGGAGGTGCTTCATGGCGACACTGATGTGAGATTGACGCTTCATTGAGTTGGTGATGTCCGCCTTTCAGCTTGGCTTGAACCAGCAAGGTCTTGTTTGATCTTGCTTGCATGGAATGGGAGGCTCATATGTCATATTGAAGAAAGGGCCAGGCTCATGTCTCATTGCCACCCTGATGTTTAGCAACTTGTGTTATGAATAAAACTCCAACGGTAGATCACTCGGACACGCATGCAACGCATCACTTCCAGGAACTTTGCCTGAAAATGGACCGAGTAGAACCGGAAGCTGCTGTAGGCTGCTAGCCAGCTTCAAAGGTTAAAAGTTCTGCGCCAGATGGCGCCCATGGCTTCCCGCTCATCTCACGCGGCTGATAAAAATTTGGAGGAAGTTGGACTCTCGATGTCAGCTTCATGCCCACATCATTGGCCATACCATTCACATCCCAATCCTCATACTGCGATGAAAGCATCACGAGCTGAATCAGTCCTCCTTCTAGCACCACTCCATTCATGGCACTTACGAAGAATTCTCTCAAAAGCCGAGAATTGCAGGGATTTGGTGCTCGGCTCAATGAATAACGCGGAAAGGGGAAAACCACAATGTGGAATCCACCCTCGATTCCTTGTGTTCTCAAGGTGCCTTGCAAATCCGTGGCATCCACGCTGTGTAGCACCTGCGCACCCAATTGGTTCAGTTCGTTGATGTTTTTCTGCAAGGCGCCTTTCATCCCCGGGAGGGAAACACGCTTGTAGGCCGCCCGCTCGCCATCATCGGACGGGTGAACCTCCGGCTCATTGGGGTCATGCTCTGCCAGGAATGAAGTTGCGACTAGGGCAGTACCAGGGGGTCGCAGCCTTGCCACTGCCAACGAAAAGGAGAAGTCCATCTCACCCAAGGTCAAAACTGCCGGGAACTGTCCCTCATCATCCTGGAGGCTCCAAGAGCCATGGGACAAGAAGTGCTCTGCGCCCAACAAGTTGAATGGTGGCCTCGGACATGTTCTGCTTCTGAGCATGCTGTGTGTGCGTGGGTGTCTTCAAGAGTCAGGGGGCCGAAGAATCCACCGCAAAGCTGATCGATATTTAGTATACAGTATGTTACAGTATAATATAGGTCAATTTAGTGCAATCATTTAGGCATATTAAGATGTCCCTATCGGTGCTTGGTGGGAGGGGGGTGGGACCCCAGGTTTATTTCCTGCAGTATGTGTTTTTTTTCCAAAATTCATCAGTCAATGTATACCCTCCGATTATTTTTTGTTACTAACATGGGAAATTAATCCAGCACAATCCAGTTCAGGTCCCCCAGCTCAAAATGAAACAAGCTACTTGACAGTACCTGGTTTAATTTTACAGGATGGAAATGGCACTGCAGGTATTCTAATACAGCACATGAATGCTCATGAATGCTCATGAATGCTCAGTACATATGGACTCACCCACCCCTTGTTTAATTACTGCGGTGACCATGAATGCCATGGGCATTCTAGATGATTAATTGTGGAAACAAAGGTGTCCAATGAATGAATGATGGCCGGGTCCTATCATACCCCCAACCGTTCATACCCCCTTGGAATATTTTTAGAATATTCCGCCACAGTCGAAGGTTGTTCTGGAAAAATATTCTGATACGTTGCCTACGTATGGAATAATTTTCAGCAATTTTGCTTCAAAAAATATTCTGGCAACATGTGAGCCTCATGCTGGAAAAATAATCCAGGTATATGCTGAGGGTATCTAAGCTGAACATAGCTGAACATGATGGTGTTTGGCACCATTCGTTCTGCACATGTCTGTATCGCGCAGGGACAGATGCATCGTTTTTTTCCCCATGGAGGCGCCATCCCACACTGCATCCTATCCCTAAACTACATCAAACAACTTTGAAAATCATTCTTGGGGAAATCCCTCAAAATGTCATTATACCTAGTTCTCTCCTGGAATTGTTCCCAACCTTTTCATTGTTCACCCTATTTCTTCCATGTTCTTTTCATGTCTTTCCAAAGAACTCCCGATTCCGATGGCCTTGCGCGGGAGGGGTAAGACAGGGTAAGAAGCGCTTGATTGTCACATGTTTTGTCATGTTTTGTCCGGTTTCTGGGCTTGGCTTGTGGATGCTGCCCGCTTTTTTTGAGGGGTTCCGGACATCTCACATACCCCTAGAATAATTTCTCCCTTCAAAAACATCCCACAGAATGGCATTCAACGTGGCTCTCTCTTGGAAATGTTCCCAACCTTTCATTTTTCCCTCTATTTCTTCCATCTTCTTTTCAGCAAGAAGCATTTGGTTGTGATTATTTTTGTCATGTTTTGTCCTGTTTCTGGGCTGTTTGGGTGGTTGTGGCAGCCACTTTTTTATTCGAAGGGTTCCGGACACCTCACATACCCTAGAATAATTTCTTCCCTCATGGAAATCCTACAGAATGGCATTCAACATGGCTCTTTCCTGGAAGTGGCCCCAGCATGTCCCAACCTTTCCTGTTTCCCTCTATTTCTTCCATCTTCTTTTCAGCAAGAAGCATTTGGTTTTGATTGTTATTGTAATGTCTTGAATGTCTTGTCCTGTTTCTGGGCTGTTGCGGCAACTATTTTTTATTCAAAGGGTTCCGGACATCTCACATACCCCTAGAATAATTTCTTCCCTGGTGGAAATCCTACAGAATGGCATTCAACATGGCTATTTCCTGGAAGTGGCCCCAGCATGTCCCAACCTTTCATGTTTCCCTCTATTTCTTCCATCTTCTTTTCAGCAAGAAGCATTTGGTTGTGATTGTTATTGTAATGTTTTGTCCTGTTTCTGAGCTGTTGCGGCAACTACTTTTTTATTCAAAGGGTTCCGGACATCTCACATACCCCTAGAATAATTTCTTCCCTGGTGGAAATCCTACAGAATGGCATTCAACATGGCTATTTCCTGGAAGTGGCCCCAGCATGTCCCAACCTTTCATGTTTCCCTCTATTTCTTCCATCTTCTTTTCAGCAAGAAGCATTTGGTTGTGTTTTTTGTTCATGTTTTGTCATGTTTCTGGGCTGGTTGGGTGGTTGTGGCAGCTAAATTTTTATTCGAAGGGTTCTGGACATCTCACATACCCCTAGAATAATTTCTTCCCTGGTGGAAATCCCACAGAATGGCATTCAACACGGCTCTTTCCTGAAATTAAACCATGGGGTGGGTCACATCTCAAAATTAAACCAACTCAACTTTCTTCAGAATCTTAAGGAGGTGGGTGCACCCCCTTTTTTACTAAGATTTTTAAATTAAACCAAAAAAAAAACATAACTCAGTGTCCACCTGGTTTAATTTAAATTTAGCCAGTGCAAGGGATATATTAAGGACATTGCACGCAGTCGAAATCAAGAATATGAGTCCCCCATTTTGGACACATCAAGGTCTTCCAAGGTCTCCGTGCATAGAAAGAACGCCACCGAGAGATGGCTTTCGATATGTTTAGAGTTTAGACATCAACCTCTGCTGCTTTTGGAATTTTTGAAGGCCGTGTTCCGGCTATCCCTTTGAAACTTAACTACCCTTATTCGCTGTGAACTATGGTCATTGAGGCTAGATGGATCTATATCGCGAGGGTCCAAGGAAAGTTGCTTGAGAACTTCTGGGGTGGCTTTGAGAAAACAAGTGTTGGGGCCTGTTGGGGCCAGGTGGGGCCATTGGATTGCGACGACCAGTGAGACCCTGCCAAGATGCGAGGGCAATGGTCTTTCCACTTCATTTTTAAGTTTCACTGGCTGCATCATGAGCCTCCGCTCAAAGCAATGAATTGAAAGTTGTGACAAGAAGCTTCCGGCTGTTTCTCAGCGCAAAGAAGATTTCCTACGCTTATGGCTCATGACTTGAGAGGGACCTTTCACTCACGAACACTGCATCTTCTAGGCAAAAGTCTGAGGTAGTTTCATCATGTTTCATGTGAAGTGGTTTCCATTAGAACGGAAACAACCTTGCCTTTCCCGGTGCTTTTTGCCATTGGCGTGGGCTGCCCACCCCTTCACTGACACAACTGCTTGACCTCGGGCGTTCGACTTTCAAGTACAAGTTCAGCTGATGCCCTGGGAAATCTGAGCCCATGACAAACCAAGCATACCTGACCGAGTGGCAAAGTGATGCCATGGAACATTCAAAGACCCCAAACAAATCTGAACTGACCACTCATTGGTATTATTGGCAAGATTGAGAGCCAACCTGGCCAAAGTAGTATTCAATGCTTGCAGGATCCTCCACACTTGAATGCCGCGGAAACGGTCTGTCTCAACAAGTTCTATATGCTTGTCTGACACGACCACATGTTGAAGCCACATTAAAATCACTGCTGGTCCTGAATCTCTTCCACTAAGCATGGTTCCAGTCTGGACTCACGCCATTGGAGGCAGAAGTCCAAGCCTCGACTAGATATCCGAGAATTCGGCTGCGAGCCAATAACGGTGCCACACCATGCAAAGTAGATAAAGCAGGGATATCATAATCATATGGATATCTCTGCAGGACATACAACAGAGAATTTCCGCTTCAAGGGTGCCTTCGGGCACTTGGATGCTTGCAGAAGATGTAGTGTGCACCACTTTCTTGTTGTTCTTTGGTGGAACTGCCTGGGCAAAGAATTGCGCCGCAAAGAACACAACGGACGCAACACGCAAAGTCATAAAGTCTATAGAGACTGACATTTTCTGACTAGACTTGGCATATCTTGGCATGTTCGCTCAGTTTTGGTGTCTATCAGTTTTGCTGGATACTTGTACCATCGTAGTCTTGTACCTCTCCCAAACACAAGTGCGCAGACAAGGGGCAGTGACAACGGTACATGCGTCCAATTCAGAGTATGGCCTGCCAGTTGACCGAAGACACCAATGGGATCCTTCATCTTCCACTACTAAGTCATCACATCCGGTACAAATGATATCAGATGATGCACTCGGTGCACTCGGTGCGCGCACTGTGGGCAGTCACTGATCGCGGCCGCAATGGATATCAAAATATATCAAATTGACACAAATCATTAAATGTACATCACCAAATGATTTCAGGATCGCACCTCTTCTGCATCCGACCTGCACCAGTCGTGCCAGTCGTGCCATGGAAATCCCTACGCCCTACGCGGTCCCGGGGCACCTCGAGGAGGAGGAACTACCCGCGGCACTGCGAAGCGAGGCGAGGGGCTGAAGAACGCCTCGAAACTCGGTGCCAAGGGAAATCTGTGAAATTTGTCCATCTCACGCACGATTGATCAATAATTATTGATTATATTGATCATATTGATATTATATACATTCCTTAAAGGTTGGGGAATAAGTCACCGGTGAGTCACTAACCCTCGCAGCATCAGGTAGGCACAACCTTTTTCTCAAACCATATTCTCTGTGTTCTTCCAACCTGTATTCCTACAGGATAATGCATTGGGTATGCCTATAGATCAATCAGCCCTGCTGATGGTGGCATTCTGTTCCAGTCAGGCTCAGATACTGGATCCCTCCATGTATCATTCCACACCCGCTGGGACAGTACCACCTCCAATCTATAGGTATTCACAGATCTCTGTGCATAATCAGACCCCTCTGCAGCGCAGACTACAAGTTATGAGGATACCTCACAGAGGTCCTAATAACAGGGTGGGTCAAAATCTCCGATTTAGGGAGGGCAAGGAAAACAATGCTGCTATTTTGGATCAATACTTACTTGAGCCAAAATTGGCATTGATTTTACCTTATTTAACCAGCCACCAAGGAATGACCACTGTCCACCCAGGCCTGCCAAACACTAGACAGTCATACATTCCTTAAAGGTTGGGGATTAAGTCACCGGTGAGTCACTAACCCTCGCAGCATCAGGTAGGCACAACCTTTTTCTCAAACCATATTCTCTGTGTTCTTCCAACCTGTATTCCTACAGGATAATGCATTGGGTATGCCTATAGATCAATCAGCCCTGCTGATGGTGGCATTCTGTTCCAGTCAGGCTCAGATACTGGATCCCTCCATGTATCATTCCACACACAACGCACTAAGTCCCAATGCATTTAAAGAAACTCGGCCGTGCGAATGATGGCCGCTGTGGGAAGATGCCAGAGAATGGCTGGAAAAGGTGCTAACTGTGCTGTGAAACCATTGGTCTTAAACCATGGGTCGTTCCATCCAAGTCGGCTGATCGAATCAGTCCAGTTACTCTTCCCGAAGTATCGCTTCGATGACTTCAAAACTCTTTAAAATTCGAGTTGTCAGGACAATACCCTTCTCATACTGTCTCTCCTTGATGGGTGCAAGCCCTTGAGCGCCAATACGCCCATAGGTTCCTTGTTCGAGGAAGTTCATCATGCCGTAGATCTTGGAAGCTGTACCTGCATGTAGCCGGGCTGAGGTTCGACAATCACACATCAAAGTTTTGATCTTGTCGATGAGGCGTTGGCGGGGCCAAAAGCTAATGGAGTCAGTAGAGTTCAAATGGGACATATCATGGTCTAATCCGAGGAAAAGCCCCTGGCTGGACATAGGCTGATGTTTCTCCACCGCAAAGGGGGTACCAAGGATCTCATTGAGATGTATGAATGCCGTCTGCGACGCCCCTTTGGAGCTGGCCCAGTCTACCACATTCGCATCATCGAAGTACATAGACACCAAACAAGCAAGAAGGCGTCGTCCCAGTGCTTCTACAAACTTGGAATAGCGATTGAAGCTTGTCACTGCCAGTGGGAGCCCAAAAAGCAAGGAGTTGTAGAGCTGGAAAGCAGGTTGCTGCCACTCATCATGCCACCAAGTAACCACACAGCCAAGACTCTCCTCCCTGGAGATTGGACTGTGTCGATAAGCATCTGGCCAATCCTCGCCTCCGCTCTCGAAGTGGTCATGAGTCATGTGATGATCCCAGTCACTCTGGGACATCCAGCTCGCGACTGCTGCAACATGTTGGGCTGGTCGAAGTGCACTGCACAGTACCAGCTTGTTGAAGTCTGATGAAAGTGCCGATTGGCCGCCCACTGCTGCATCGTCGATGATACGCTTCTTCCCACTCGGCTGCGCAATGACGCATCGTGGGATGAGCCGGAATGGGCGCCCTTTTGTGGCTCGTAAAAGCTCTGACCAAGTCATAGGTTGCGTGCCAAAGCCTTTATCTGCATCCACCAAACTCTGTGACAACAGAAATTCATCATGAAGACCAGGTCGCAGCTTTGCGATAATGGCTCGGTTGTGCTCATCAGTGTCCGCAACTACCTCGGCCAGGTTGATGATGCTCCCTTGTTGCGCTGGAAAGATGTTGTAGCAAGGCGCCGTGCCCACTGCTGGTAGCCCCGTGACAAGGCCATAGGGATAGCAGGTATCCCCCCACTGGGCTATCACCACCAGCAGTGCAGTCAGCCCCAAGTCCCTCTTGGTGGTGACTTTCGCGATTGCGTCTGTTTGGAGAGTGCGCAGCTGGTCTGTTACTGGGGTCCATCGCCTTTTCAATTCCCTCAACATGCCCAGAGCTCGCCTCCTCCATGACCCCAGGGAGTCCTTCTCTTGAGCATGCATGTACGCGGCAAATTGGAGGTCGGTGTCCACAACTGGCGATCTCTCCGTCGGCAGAGGATATTGCCCCACAGTGCAGGCGGCCTCAAAGTGCTCGTCTGGGTCCAATCCGAACGGAAGGAGAGGCGGGAGTGCTGCTCGATGATTCAGGCTCCCTGCCTGTTTGCCCTCAGCGTGCCTCTGCCGCAGTCTGGTAACGCCAGACCCCCCAGCAGGGTTAAGGGGACCATCCCACTCCAACCCTTGCGCCTCACGCCATTGCACGTAACTGCAGAAGGGATGCTGGTTCACGAGGTCTTCGATCATGGGGAACTTGAATCCAGAGAACCATTCAGCTGGGAAGAGCTTCCACCTGACTACCGACGAACCAGCCAATGTCGGTGCTTGCAAGGCAGCCAGGGCTAGACTCCCTCGCTTGGGACCGCACAACTCTCCTGGGTGGTATGCCAGCTGCCCGTGGGTGTGGGGCTGAAGCATTAGGGCTCGTGGCTTCAAACACCAAACCTGCTAGAACGTCCGCCTCACAGAGTTCATCTTCGGCGCAATCACACACTAGTGTCTTCCCCAACAGGGAATGGAGCTCTTGTCCGAAGTTGCGTTTGATATGGTCGATATACAAGGGCATTACTTCATCTGGAGCACAATCATGGCCTGCAACGAACGGTGACTTCCAGCATGTAGTGGGTAACCTGTGTGAATGATGGCCTTGCCCCACGTAGATGGCCCCTGCTGGCAACTGCCCCTCATGTAGCAGCTCTTTCACCCGACCCCGGCTGGGGATCCTTGCACGCTCCTGGGGGTGTGGTGGCTCCAGACCCAGCAGGATGGCCAGTGGTGCCATTGCCCAACTCCGCATCGATTGCGGGTGCAGCTCCAGCCAATGCTCCCGGCGGCCCACCGCCTCCATAGGTGGCATCCGAGGTACATGAAGCACAGCTCGCCCAACTCGTACCGCCCACCATGAAAGCGCAACTGCCAGCGCAAAAGCTAGGCCTGCGGAGTATTCCGCCTCCTCTTTTGACGGGTAGACCCGCTGCCCATGCTCCGTCCATGGCCTCCACTCATCCCTCGCATGAGTGTGAGCGCATAGTGCTTTGGGCCATTGAGCTATCTCCAGGACGTTGTGCCTCAGCTTCTGGTACTTGCACCGTGCCAATTGGAAGACGCAGGCAGAGTACTCTGTCTCCCAATACTGCCCCGAGTCCATCAACCTCTTCTCCTCGGGTAACTCCCAGTGGAGGCTTCGGCCAGGGTTCTCTCGAATTGTGGCACCTCCACGCTGCACCATGGCCTGGATCTCTTCCAGGACAAATCCAGCTGCCTTGTTATCACGCTCCACCCTAGATTCATCCTGGGGGCTTAGCCCTGGTAAGCCCTCTGGGTGGTCATTGGAGCGCAACGGCTGAGGGCTGGGTCTGCCATCGCTGAAGTGCAGTGGTATCTCTCGAGCCCTAGATTTGGTAGAGCAATCCAATGCAGCCATGATGCAGTCAGCCTCTTGTAGCTGCTCGTGCAGAAGTGCCTGGCGGATTGCATCGCTGAGGTCATGAGTGGGGTCCAGGAGGATGTCAATGGGCAATACTCTCCATCCGCACCATAACAACGCCTTGCTGACCGGTGCCCCTGGTCCACTCATGATGTCTGCTGCAAGGGGGGACTGTGGCGGCATAGGTGGAAAATCGACCCCAGAAGAGGCTGCCGCCTCCTCTCCGGGGCCCCTTCACTCCTTGATGTTGGATCGGCACGTGTGGGCTCCATGCCCAGGCGCGCCACAGACTCTGTCCCCCCGTGTGATAACTCCACATCGGTGGGCGCCAGCAGTGCATTTGCCCTTCTGCTTGCAGTCTCCCCGTTGAAAGCCCTGACATAGGGTTGTACCATCCCTCATCACCTTGGCAACCCGCTTGCCGTTGATGGACTTGCCAAGGATGAGCTTGTTCGGAGATGCAGGTGCAGTCGCCACCTTGCTGTTCGGCACTGGCGCCATCGCAGTAGATGCCCCTGAGGGTTCACTACCCACAGGGGGTATCCAGTGAGCATCCCGCGCCTGAAAGACCTCTTTGATGATGACTCCCAACGTCAGGGTGCTCTCCCTGAATCGGGATGTCCACTCAGCCCGTTCTTCTTGGTCTCTTGCCTGCAACCATACCATCCTCTTGGAAGGGTGCACCTGATAGCACGTCCTCTTTGCTCGAAACCAGTAGGTCATGCACACGTCCAAAGGTACCGCAGCAAACTCTGTAGAATCGGCCCCCAAGGCTGCCTCCTTGGTAGCGTCTGGTGTTGTGCCCGACGGGGGGGCGACTCCAGCAATCGCGTAGGCCAACATGAGGGTGTAGAGGCGGTCCAGGTACGACTCCACATTGTGCTGGCAAGGTTCGTCTTCATCCACTTCTTCTGTATAGAGGTTCTCACCCAGCTTGCGCTTCTTCTGATTGGTTGTCAGCTGGAATTGAAGTGTCTTCACCTTCCACAGGTTGAACACGCATAACATCCTCTTGGATAGCTCCCGACTCACCCTTGAAACGGTTGTATCCGCCGGATGTACCTCAGTAGGGAACTTCAAGCGGTACCGCCGCCAGAAGGCTGTTTTGGAGTCCCTCAGCTCACTCTCATTGAGCATGCTGTCCAAATCGGTGGTCTGCACCTTAGACCGGTCCTGCTCGGCCGTTTGATAAAACAGTGAGACTGCCGCCCAGGCCCTCCTCAGCCTGGCAATCTGCACCATTTTGTCATCGGTCACCCCGAGCTTGGTTACCCAAGTTTCCACTTGGGCCCCATCATGAAAGAGTAGACGACGGATGGCCCGAGAGCGTAGAGGAGCAGGGTCTTCTCTTGTTAGTATGGAGACACAATTTTACAAACAATATATGAAAGATGTGTTATAGGCAGTCGAGAAGAGAAGTAGCAAGACAAAATAGTGAGAAGTGCAAGACAATAGTTTGCATCGCAAACACTTTTACACACAGACGCTTTTACACACGAAAGTTTTTACACACAGAAGCTTTTACACACAGAAGCTTTTACACACAGAGACGCTTTTACACACATGTTTTTACACACAGACGCTTTTACACGGACACTTTTACACACACAGAGCTTTTTACGCACAGACGCTTTACATTTACACACAGAGACGCTTTTACACGCTTTGACACACAGACGCTTTTACACACAGACTTTTACACACAGACGCTTTTTACACACAGGCGCTTTTACACACAGACAAGAACGGCACAAGTAAAATCGCAATTTACCTCAGTTTTTGCCGATCGACCCTCATTTCGTGCGAAAGGGTTGCTCCGGGACAACTAAAATCGCAATTTTACCTCAGTTTTTGCCGATCGACCCTCATTTCGTGCGAAAAGGTTGCTCCGGCACAAGTAAAATCGCACTTTTACCTCAGTTTTTGCCGATCGACCCTCATTTCGTGCGAAAGGGTTGCTTTAGCACAAGTAAAATCGCAATTTTACCTCAGTTTTTTCCGATCGACCCTCATTTCGTGCGAAAGGGTTGCTTTAGCTCAGTTTTTGCCGATCGACCCTCATTTCGTGCGAAAGGGTTGCTCCGGGACAAGTAAAATCGCAATTTTACCTCAGTTTTTGCCGATCGACCCTCATTTCGTGCGAAAGGGTTGCTCCGGGACAAGTCAAATCGCAATTTTACCTCAGTTTTTGCCGATCGACCCCCATTTCGTGCGAAAGGGTTGACGTTTCGTGACTCGCCGCCGGCACCACCCTCGGCCTTAAGAGAGAAAGATAAAAAGAAGGCATGAGAGAGAAGGTGAGCAGGTGTGAAGATAAGAAGATGTGAAGATGAGCAGATGTGAACATGAGCAGATGTGAAGATGAGCAGATGTGAAGATGAGCAGATGTGAAGATGAGAAGATGGGAGGGTGTGAAGATGAGCAGATGTGAAGATGAGCAGATGTGAAGATGAGCAGATGTGAAGATGAGCAGATGTGAAGATGAGCAGAGAGAGAAGGTGAGCAGGTGTGAAGATAAGAAGATGTGAAGATGAGCAGATGTGAACATGAGCAGATGTGAAGATGAGCAGATGTGAAGATGAGCAGATGTGAAGATGAGAAGATGGGAGGGTGTGAAGATGAGCAGATGTGAAGATGAGCAGATGTGAAGATGAGCAGATGTGAAGATGAGCAGATGTGAAGATGAGCAGATGTGAAGATGAGAAGATGTGAAGATAAGAAGATGTGAAGATGAGCAGATGTGAAGATGAGCAGATGTGAAGATGAGCAGATGTGATGGGAAGGTGTGAAGATGAGCAGATGTGAAGATGAGCGGATGTGAAGATGAGCAGGTGTGAAGATAAGAAGATGTGAAGATGAGCAGATGTGAAGATGAGCAGATGTGAAGATGAACAGATGTGAAGATGAGAAGATGTGAAGATGAGCAGATGTGAAGGTGAGCAGATGTGAAGATGAGCAGATGTGAAGATGAGAAGATGTGAAGATGAGCAGATGTGAAGATGAGCAGATGTGAAGATGAGCAGATGTGAAGATGAGAAGATGTGAAGATGAGCAGATGTGAAGATGAGAGGATGTGAAGATGAGAGGATGTAAAGATGAAAAGATGTGAAGATGAGAGGATGTGAAGATGAGATGTGAAGATGAGAGGATGTGAAGATGAGATGTGAAGATGAGAAGATGTTTTACAGACCCCCACTATTGGAAGAACCCTGCGCTCAGACGCTCTCGGGAAAAAATCGGAATTCTTCAAGGTTGGCTATCTTCTCTTTGATTAGCCCTTTCACGATCACGTCGTCAAGGCTGAAGTTAACCCCTAGTGCCGCTAGGGAAACTTCTGGGGTCCCCCCCTCTCTAGGTACCTAGCCTGATGAGCTCATACGGGTTCCGCCCGCACCAGCCCTCCTCGGTCCCCCGAGCAGTCCTAGGCTGTCTTGAGCAAAAGCTGAAGACACAGACCTGCACGCGGTTACTCCGCTCACTCAAAATTGAACCCAGGACCCCCTGGACACAGACTCCCCTCCCTGGCATTCTCAGACTGCACTCAGTTCTTGCATGCCGAAAAAGGGGAAAAACCTAAGAAGCCTCAAAGGGAAGGTTGGGATAAAGCTTGACTAGCGACCTCCCTGACTGCCTACTCCCTAGCTGAGGACTTCAAAATGCCATAAACTTGCTACCACGAGAATCCCTCCTCTGGATTACTTCCCTCACATTTTCACCGAAAGTGAGCTGTTATCCGAGGTTCTGATCCTGTCAAGGTAGCTTGAACCAAACAAATGGACATCTTATGACTGAATTAAATAAAAGAGAGGATCGGAGAGCTCCGCTGGCCCACAAAAATGCATCCCTCTCCAAGCTCTTAGCCTGCAGAAAAAGGTTACCGTGATGCCTCCCTGCTTTCAGGTGGCGTCACTTGCCCTGCTCTGCTACACTCACTCGGAACCTGCATCGCGTGGCAGCCATGATGCTGGGGCGCGGGCCAAGCAAGCTCTGCACCACGGTCGGCCCCACGCCACTGCCTCATCGCCATCCTCAGTGAACATTGGGTCCGTCAAGCGCTGGGCCTTGTCCGACTTCTGGTGGTGCATGCATAGCGGCACATGCTTGAAGCCCTGCAAATGGAGTGCGCTCCTCGGAGTTGCCAGATATCCCGATGGGCGTGGCCAGCGGTCCCTCCGCTTCGTGTTCTTCACGGCTTCCTGCAGCCACTTGGCGGCCTCTTTGTCTCTGCAGAAGCCAGGCACATCGGTGTCTCTTCTCTGGGCTATCCAGTCTGAAGCGTCCTCAAAGGTCTCACCCATCATCACCGCCCTGATCGAACCTGAACCTTCAAATGGTACAAAAAAAAGTGTCCAAGGGTTCAATTGATATATTTTTTCAAACATCGAGCGTTTTTTTGATAGGCCCTCAAAATCGAGCACTTTTTTTAAAGGTTATGATTTTGATATTTTTTCCATTTTCCATAAAAAGGATTGGAATGGGTCAGTTTGTTATTTTTTCTATGTGACATGCATGTTACATGCATGTTGTTACGTATAGTTGCATGTGCCGGCAGCAATGTGTCTTGCTACTGCCCCAACGTAGAGAAGATGACCCGCGAAGCTGTGCAAGGCCAGGTTTATCTTTTTGCATTGCCATGTGTACCTACCACTTGCACTGCAAATGGTAAGATTTCATGTATGGGCATGCCTTGTGGGAGGCTTGCAATGGACAGCTGGGGTAACAGTTGATGCCTTTGGCCAGGTTTTGGGTCAGGCAGGGTGCATGCATGAAGGTGAAAGGCATCAGTTTCAGAACCACGCATGGCCATGCATGCAATCCCTGATCTGTGCACAGGTGCTTTGAAAGCCAAGTGACCTTCTGCATCATCTTTGCATTTGGCATCGTTTGCAATGAATTTCATTTGCAACCATTTGCCATAACCAACTCTTCACGCATACACGCATGCATGATCACGCATGACTATGATATGTGTTCTGCAGAAATTTTGGCCAGCTGATTTCAATCAAGCCACCTGGGGTGAACATGGCTTTTTTTGAGCAGGCCGCTGTGCTTGCCACTTCATGGGCGAACCATCCTGATCTAAGAGCTCTTGGTGCAAAGCACAGTTTGTGCATCATCCGGGGGAAGAAGCTGTCTAGAGGCCAGGGGCATGCATGTTCATAGCACCAAAGCCACATATAGGGCACAAAGATATGCATGAGATGTTATTCTAAAAAGTTTTCCAGCTAAAGCGATGTGGCCCGGAACAAGGATGCTGTTGGCCTAGCCGTTGAAAAGCTTGGAATGAGGCCAAGCCAGGGCATGCTGGAGCAAGCAGTTTACCAGTTTCTGTCCCTATGCCTTCCACGAAGTGTGGAAGTTTGCAGCACCTTGCCGGTTTTTAAAGTTTTGTGTGACATCAATTGGTCATGAACATGCGTACCAGGCTGCATGCATGTGACAGCATTAAACAATTACTAAGGTACAAAGCACAAGCTGCAGTCGAGGGTGATTAAGCAACTGGTGTACCGTTTTGCCCGAATTGCCAGGACACTCATTCATAAGCATGCATACTCTGAATGACTTATGTTATACTTAGGCAAGGATGTAGGCATGCATGATTAAGGAGACCGCATGTGCCTAGAGATGCTGCTGTCCGGGACGTCTTCAAATATGCTGGTCTCACGCTCCCAGGCATGATTGGTGCAGTTTTTTGCTTCATGCCTCCACGCATACGATTTTGATTTGGGTTTATGAAACAGGATTGAAGAAGAAAGATGAAGATGAAAGTGAGACTGACTCGTCGTCTGACTCTTCTTCAGACCAAGCGGAGAGTGTAGGGACCTTACTTTCAAAAATCTTTGTTACATGCATGGGATGCAACACATTCTGTTGGTCAGGATCCTGAGGATGAAAAGGATGAAAGCAAAGCATGCACGAAGAAGGATGAGCAGCCATGCATGGATGAAAGTGAAAAGACCTGTAGTATCAAACCGAAGCCAATCTGTGGTCCATCTGCTTCAAGTTCAGGCAGATGCATTTGCATGCATGCAGATGCACACATGCATGCAGGAACTCATGCATGAGATATAGCATACGCGCATTTTTACAGGCCAAAGTCTGCATACGCCGTCTCCAACTGGACACCGTGCCCAGCTTGCAATACACTTGAGATGATATTTATTTTTTCTTTTACTAATTTTACTATATATTCTGGTTCCTCTGTTTCGGGCCCAGGTGTGCCTGACATTGATGTGCCTAGCACTGAGAAGTTTGCAAAAGTTGAAGAGGAACGGGCTCTGAAGGCAAGTCTAATGAAGGAACTTCAGGAACTTGAGGTTCTGTTGGAGAAACGACTGCGTGCTGCAGAACTTAAACGGATGGTCACGCACACCATGCATGAGGAAAAGGTTTGTGAACATGAGCCCTCTGTGCCACCCATGTGTGAACCAGCAGTGGTTTGTGAGAAACATGTGACCTTGACGGCTGCTCCATCTTCGACACCTGCTGTGAGTCACAAACTCAATTGTTTGTTGCAATTCGTCTTTTTTCATGAGGCACCAAGTTTGCATCATGCATGTTGAAAGATTTGAACTTCACCGAGACCCTGATGAGCTTGACACCTTGCCGATGACCTTGCCCTTGGACATCGACTGCATCGAAGGTGATGCTGCAAACAGTGGAGAGTCACACGACCCTGGTCTCCATGCAGAGCTCTCTGATGAGCCCCCTATGGAACATGAGGTACCGTTGCACAATTTTAAACCCACCCCCCTTCCATATGCAAGTATGCCTTTCTGTGGCCAGGTACCTGATGTGGCCGCAGACCTGTTGAATGCAGAGTGCCTCCCACCCCCCAAGAGAAGGAAGAGGGGGGACCCAGAGGATGAGGAAGAGGATGATGCTGATGATCGGCATGATGGCGACCCAGGTGATGATGACAATGTTGATGATGGGGGGGAAAACGAGAAGGCAAGAGGTTCGGAGGATCCCTTGCCCACCCGGCCTACCCAGAAGGCAAAGGCAAAGGCGAAGGCGAAGGCCAAGGCAACAGCTAAGGCACGAGCCGACAGGGCTTTGCCCAAGGCAACACCCAAAGCAAAAGCGAAGCAACGTGCCACACCTGCTGTCAAGGCAAAAGCAAAGGCCAAAGCTAGGGGCAGACCTCCCAGGGAGCCCATGGATGCAGAGCTTGTCAAGAGAAAGAGCAAGGCATACCACCGAGCCAGGGTTGCTGCTTTGCAAGACGGCTGGGATGATGAAACCGCGAAAGATGCTGGACGTAAGGCCCACTGAGAAACTTATATTTTTTAAAAAGCATGCGTAGTGATGAAAAAAAACGTGCTGCACAAGACATTCATGGATTGAAAACACATGCATGCGTATGCAGGCGTATGCTGAGTGCATCTAGGCTGGGCAAATAGTTTTTGGGCCACATGGGTTTTACTTTCATGCATGCATTCATGCATATACATGCATGTTGATAGGTCGGTCGATGGAAAGCTAGACACTGGTCTGAGCCCGTGTGCAGTTGGCATGACCCAAGGCATCTACAATGCTGCCAATTCATGATTAGGGGTTGCTGTCAGCACAAGTGCAAACATTTGTGCGATTGCTATTTCCAAAATTATTATGTAGCCCATGCATGCATGAGCGTGCGAATTCCGCACGATCTGCGGGGCATTGAGCTTACTTGCTAAACTGATGTCGATAGCAAACATGCTGCATGCATAAGCGAAGATCTGCGGTGTATTTTCGAACTTCATGCATGGCAAGTGTGTCCCAAATGTTTTTTAAGTTTATAATGCCTTGTCTTTCCAGGTACCTGGCGTGTGGTTCAAGCTTGTGGCCTATACATCCTGTCGATGTAGTGCCCCAACCTGTTGTTGCTGGGTGAATTGATTGGCATGCAGCTTTGAAAATTATATTGACGGGTTGCGTGTGTCCACACATGATGACTTACTCAGACATGCATGCATGCAGCCCCTTTTCAAGCTCAGCGCTTCGCCCTTTCGTGGCTTTGTGCTGACAGCAGGCTGGGTGGCTGGAACTTCTTGGCTCATATTCTTTAAAAAAAACACGCATGCATGCATGCAATGGGATGACAAGGAGATGGAAGAAACATCTTCGACTACAGTGGAGGCTGTTCGCGGAAGTTTACACACATCATCATGTATCCATGAAAGATAGCTGTTTTTGTGTTTTCAATGACATGGGAGGCTGAAATCGGTGGTGTCTGTTTCAAACAGACAGTCACCCGAAAACGACAAATAGATGCTGCCTGGGCCTTAAGATGGGGCAAGAACTGTGCAATGCATAGTGCAGCTTTTGTTACTTAGAACGCTCCTGGTCTGTGGCAAGACCTCCTTCGAAGGCAGAAGGTGCAGCCAGCTCTTTCAGCCAATTAATATGCATGCATGCTTTATTTGTTTGAAACTCTAAGCTGTCAACCCTGATCAGTTTGTCATGTGTTTCCAGGTCTCTGAGTGCACAGTTCGGCGTTTGGAGCAGGCAGGGCTGTGGATCAACTGTTAAGATGTTGCCAAGAACATATATACATGCATGTTGGAATGTTTCTTAAAAACCTTGTGCAGGACCCATCCATTAGCCAAACCATGGCGACCCTTGCAGCTCTCGCCCCAAGCCAGGACAGGCTGCTGGAATGTGCGCATCCATGTTCATGCATAAGAGTTTTCACGCATAGCAACTCACGCATACTGAATTTGCAGTCATGCATATATATATATATAGCACGCATGCATGCCAATCTTTTTGGCAGGATCGAGTATCTAATATTCCTGAACCTGATCGGGTTGTGAGGGTTACACCGAAGACAAGGTTTGGAGTTGTTTGCATCTAGTCCCAGTTTGTCATTCATGCATGCATGCATGCATGCAAATACATGCATGTGTGAACACTGTTACAGGCCAGTGAAAGCACCTGCTGCCAGCTCAGCTCAGAGCTCCTCAGAGCCAAAGCGACCTGAACCGAAGCCAATGCCAACCAAACCCGCCCAGCAATGTTCCAAAGCACCTGCTGAACCTCCTGGCCACTCCCAGCCTAAACCCACTCAAAAAATGCACCAGCATGTGGTGGAGGAACCATTACCACCGCCACCGGGGCCACCACCTCAAGACCAAGTCTTTCGGCCACAGAAGCGAACACCGCCTCCCCCCCCACCAAAACCACCTGTGATGCCCAAGCCGTGGTGGCCACCCATTCCACCTAAAGCTCTGACCAGGGAGATGATGAATGCAAAGCCTGCAGAGCCAGCCTCGCCCCCCAAAGAAGGTTCTGAGGTGTTGGGAGCAACAGGCAAGGCAGCAGCCGTGGCAACAGCCATGGGAACACCCGCTACAAGAGGCAAGGCAACAGCAGAGGCAACAGCTATGCCAGCAGTGCCACCAGCGAAGGCCATTGTAATGCAAATCCAACTTTTGTATATCAGATAGATCTTTGAAAATATCTTAGTTAAACATATTTCTGTTGAGATTTAGGTGCATGCATGCAACACTTTTCAATGTGAAAGAAAATATGTACCATGCACAAAAATGAATTCGTGTAGGCACCGCTGCTTGCACCTGAACAAGCCATGAACTGAGAGAACTGTGTGCATGCATCACTGGGAGATGGGTGTTCATACAGGCCGGGTGGTGCTGAGTTTGCATTGTGCACATGTGCCTGCAGGTTTTCACAAGACTGTTTCCAGAAGCAATCCAAAAGGCCAAGGCAGGCAGAAGGGGTAACATTGTAAGCAAAGCATGCATATCCAAAGCCCAACTTTTTTAAACTAGCCTTTTGCAGTTCGTTGGGGTAAAAACAACCAGGTGTCCACCGGGGACAAGCCGATCAATCAAGAAGCGGAAGTGCAGGCAGCAAGAAGTGCATGCATGCATGTGCAGATATTGTGCACATTTGAAAACGCACATGGTTGTCTTGCGCGATGCCCTGAGGCATTTGCAAAGAATGCAGACGCTGTGGGTGAAAAGGCTTGTCATCTTTTTGCGCTAGGTATGCATGACGTGCATTTTTGGGCATGCTTGTTTGAACCCTTCTGCAATCTACTTGGAGGACGGAGGGCAGCCAGCAACTAAGTGAGAAGAAACCCGACACCTCGGCCTAAGAGCTAAACCTGTGAGCAACACTTTGCTGTGGCAGAAAAAAATGTTTACTGCCTGTTCCTTGCATGCATGTGTGCATATGTAAATTTCACTGCTGTTCCTTGCATATGTTTCTTGCATGTCATGGGGGGGACCAATGCATGTATAATTTGTGGAGGTACGCCATGGCTTTGTGGGCCACAGAGGCCATGATGGAAGGCTGGGCTTGTGCAAGCATGCATACTTTGACAAACGCATTGTCTATATATATATAGTTTTTGTTGACTTTTGACTTGACATCTTTGCTGTTGCTCTGCTCAAGAACAGGCCGCTCCATCATGCATGCAGCATGCATTCATGCATCCAACACCCATGCATGCATGCATGCACTGCAATCATGTTGTGTTGTGTTTACACATTCTTGTAGACCATGCCCTTTCCTCAGCGTGGATCCATGATGAGACTGTTGGTGGACACCCACGTGCCTAAGGCGGGATCTTACATGCACACTGCCAACTGTAAGTTCAGTCAAACACATGCATGATATGATATATTGTTGAATTTCCAACACTGGGCAGGCAATGATTGGTGTAGCTGGGTCCTGAGATCAAACTCGCTGTTTCATTAAGAACTGAACTGAGATCAAGACATGATAGCTGCAGGTTTTGCTGATGATGTGGAACACCCACTTCAATTGGCAGTCTGAACCTTTCCAATTTGTGGAGCTGTTTTCTGGCGCTTCGCATACCAGCCGGGGATGGCCCTCACCTAAGACTGTAAATGTGCACAGGCATGTTGGCATGCATACTTTGAAATCCTCATGGGTCATGTTAATGGGTGGGTATAGTGCTTGAGGAAACGAGCTGGTTTCAATGTGGGTCACTTTGATCTGGTACTGGGTGAAGAAGACGGACATCCAGGAGCCCATGATTTTCTCTCGCCCCCGGGTTTTCTGTGTTATACTCAGCATGCATGCTGCCCGCATGCATTTTCATTCATGATATATACATGTGAATTTTCATGTATGGCTCTAAGGGTGGCATGCTTTGCAGCACTACAGCTTGCTCCTGGTTGCCTTGGATTGATAGCCCCAGACTGTCGGTCATGGGGCACCCCTGCAAGGGGAACAACGTTTCGCAACTGGATTAACCCCATGGGAGTTGGGTATGAGTTTGTAGCTCAAGGAAACCGAATGGCATCCCGGAATCTTGCATGCATTAATCAGCTAGCATTGATGCATGCAGTCTTGTGTTGTCAGCCCATGCATGTTTTCAGACCCAGCTACATGCATGCAACTAAGGGTGGTTTTAATTTGCTTGCTGGTGCTGAGCCAACATGCCTTTTATATAGTTGAGCAGCCTCGTCAAAGTTTGCTTTTTGCATACTACCGGTGGCAATGGCTGCAGCAGCGGATCTGCTTTGCCACTCAGCTGTGTAAGCATCCATGTATGATTGTCAAGCAATGTTATTCAAACATGTTCACGCATGTGCTTAGGTGTATGAAACTTCGTTTTGGTTGATGAAATATGGATCGCCATCACCAAAAAGGCTGCTGTTAAAAAGCAATTGGAGGGAGATTGGACGCATGGACTTGGGAAAACTACCACGTGAAGAACGCGAAAGGATGACAACCGTCCAAACAGCCCGTATCTAGCTTAGATCCCCGTGAGCTCAATGTGCATGGTGGTGCATATATATATATATATATACACATGCATATATTTGTTTCACCCAGGTCGCAAGGGAAAGTCATGGAGTGGAACAAAAGCACTCAAGCTGACCCAGTTGCAAACTCAAGGGCTGCAGTGCTAGTATAGTGCTTGCATGCATGGCAAGGACCGCATCCCAAACACCATGCATGAATCTGAGGGTATACCCTCCGGCTTTTGGCCAGCGTCTCAAGATGATTTGGGGTCAAGCTGAAGTACAACCAGTCCGATCTTTGAGGACTGCATACATGCATGCATGCATGCATTAGAATATATATTATATATATAAAAGCACGCATACATGCCTGATTGGGGTGCAGGAGAAAGCCTGATGTGCCCGCTGATGCAACAGATCGCCAGTTGTTTGCCGGGCTTCCTCTGGGTGACACATGGGATGATGCTGATTTATATACATGTTTCAAATACCTTTGGGATAGCAGTGCTACTGTTATACCTGAGTCGTGGCGTGAGACCATGACAGAATTCGAAAGTGAGTTCAGACATGCAGTAGTGGCTGACCCGGCTCTTGTCGATATATATAATGCAGCTCGTGTAGGAAACAGCATGTGAAAGAGCTTTTAAAATTTCAGAGCACGGAACTTTCAGAGTTAATTCGATAGTAGATCGACAGCCAGCTTTCAGAGTTAATTTGAGATTGACAGCCAACTTTCAGAGTTAATTCGAGATCGACAGCCAACTTTCAGAGTTAATTCGAGATCGACAGCCAACTTTCAGAGTTAATCCTAAGATCGATACCTTTCAGAGTTAATTCAGATCTTCAACTTTCAGAGCTTTAACTTTCAGAGTTAATTCACGATTGATAACTTTCAGAGTTAATTCAGATCGATCTTCAACTTTCAGAGCTTTAGCTTTCAGAGTTAATTCGATTCAGAATTAATTTCAGAGGTCAACTTTCAGAGCGTTAACTTTCAGAGTTAATTCAGGCCACCAACTTTCAGAGTTAATTCCGTCAACATAGCTTTCAGAGAAAAAACTTTCAGAGCTAATTCGCCAAGTTTGGCTCTTTCACGGGCTTTTTGAAAAAAACCTGATCCGCAACTCGGGCGCAAAAATCCGCAAACGGGCGCAATTTGAAAAAGTGCTCGAATTGCATTTTTGATATGAGGACTTTTGGATCCTACCATGCATGCATGCATGTGCTGCATTCATGTGAGGGTTGGGCTCAAACAAAACGACTAGCCATGTCCAAGGAGACATTAGACTGTGGGTTGAACCTGCTCCGAATGGGGTCAACAGAGTCACAAGTGTCTTTAGACGCGATGATACAGGCGTGTGGGGCCTAGCATGGTAGCCCAAAAACATGCATCCATGCATGGATATATATTGTGGATACCTAGTCACATGCCTCATTGCCTCCAGGAGAAGCTAGCAAAAGTGGCTCGAATGCAAGCTGCTGTGGAAGAGGCTGAGAAATCTTCCACAGCGACATCGTCGCCGCCATCAGCAGTTGCGGTGCCAGGCTGGATTTGTCACCATGCACATGCATGCCCATGGCATGCATGCATGCACATTCATGCAAAAGCATGCACATGCATGTGCACGCATTCGTTCTTTGGATCGATTACAAAAAATATATATGCATATGACTGCATATGTGCGTCTTTCCAAGTTAATGCATGCAGGTCAGTTTTTCAGTGCCTCTGCAACTGGTGCTCATGCGCCTGGGTCTTCCTAGTGATGGCTCTATGACATGGTCAACATGGGTGTCTGCCTGAGGATCCATCATGCAAGCCATTCATGTATACATGCATGCATGCATATATATATATATTTGCAATATTTCGCCATGTGCAAGTTATGTCGTGCATGTTTGTGTGCGCAATCTGCAAAATGAGTCTGCAGGAGAACTGTCGCCAGCCTGATGAGTCACCTCTTGTGACACCTCGGGCATCGTCAGTGGCAGCTGCTGAAGCTGCTAGAGATGAGCTTCTCACAGACGTGCGCTCTTGCGTCAGCTAGAAGCAGAAGCTAGTCGGCAAGAAGAGGAAGTGCTTGCTGAGAAAGCCAGAGTGGACGAATTCGAACAACTTCAACACTTTCAATCCGCAGAATTGGAATCACATGGGGCAAAGATAGAAGCCCGTCACCGAGAAATGCTTGTGGAACATGAGAAGATTATGAAGGCTCAGGAAGACATTCGTGTGAGAACTGAGAAGCTTGATGAAGAGAGAAAAGCCATGAATGCTGAAAGGCAAAAGCAAAGGGAAGCGGCAGAGGCTACACGTTTGGAAGCTGAAAAGAAAGCCAATGAAGCAAAAAAGGTCCAAGAAGAAAGGTTGGCTGCAGAGGCAGCACGTTTGGAAGAGGAAAAGAAAGCCAAAGAAGCAGCACAGGTCCAAGCTGCGGAAAAGGCAGCTGCAGAGGCTGCACGTTTGGAGGAGGAAAAGAAAGTAGAAGCAGCACGTGCGCAAGCTGCTGAAGAAAGAGCACGTTTAGAAGCTGAAAAGAAGGCCAAAGAAGCAGCACAGGTCGAAGCTGCTGAAAAGGCGGCTGCAGAGGCTGCTCGTTTGGAGGAGGCAAAGAAAGATGCAGAACGAGCTGCAGAGGCTTCGCGTGTAGAAGCTGAAAAAGAGAGGCTTGCAGAGTTAGAACGAGAAGAGATGGCCAAACTACGTTTGCAGCGTGAGCAGGAGAAAGCAGCTTTCAGGTTGGAACTGGAGAAAGCAAGGGATCAAAAAATGAAAGATGATGCATCTGTGCAAAACATCATGGATGCCTTAAAAGTTTCCCGAACAGAAGCTGAATTCCTTCTGAAGAGTCAAGAAGATTTCCGCAACCAAAGCCCAAAGGTGACAAGCACTGCTGCTGAAAAGTCAGGGGGATCAAATGCCAACCTGCTGAAACCTGCAGTGCCAGCATCTGCTGCTGACATGGAGGAGCTGCGCAGGATCGATGAAGCAAATGCAAAGCGGGAACAGGAGATGAAAGATTTGGACGCACAAATGGCGTTCTTTCAGGAAAAGCTTCGTGTGGCAAGAGAGCAAGCAGCAGAGTTAGAGAAACGCAAAGATGCCTTGATGAACCAAGAGACAATCCCGAGCCCACCTCCCACAGAGACTTCTGCCCCAGGAGCTGGAAGGAGACTTCATGCATGTGTGCATCCATGCATGAATATGTGTGCATGAATTGCTTTGTGTTTTCTTTCTATGCTGTTCAAGTTGTAAGTGATTTTATGTACGATCAAAAGTTGCAAGTGAACATGCATGCTTAACCTTTTGAATTTAAAATATATCATGCATGAATGATATTGCATGTTTTTATGTCAAAGAACATCACCCAAAAAGAAACGCAGGACATCTGATGTGGTGTCTGATGAGGCAAAGGTGCATGGGGCTTAAGTTCAGGATGTGGCATGTAGCATGGTACCCAATGTGTTCTGACCTTGCAGTCTCACAAAGAGAGTTGATTTTGCATATGTCTGTGTGATTTGGCAGGTGCCTGCTGTGGCTGAAACACCAGCGACTCAATTGGATTCCCAGGATAACTCGGAGGCAGGGCTCGGGTGCATAGTATAGATGTGATATGTACATTAATGATATATTATATATATGTATGTATATATTATGATATATATATATTATACGTATATAAACAATATGTATGCATGCATGTAATGTGTTTCCTTTTTCTGCAAGGCTCTTCAAAGCCATGCACTGGTGGAGCCTGCCAAGAAATCCAACCGAATGGATGCTGATGACTGGAAGTCTGGTACTTAGAATTCTTATATCATTCATGAGTATTCCTGTTGCACATGCCTCAGGATTCGCCGGTACGCACAGAATGCCAAAAGAAGCAGCAAAGATGTGCAAGAGATGTATGAAACCGAGTCTGGCAGTGGCTTGGTTTTTTGTTATATCATGCATGCATGCATGCAACTCAAAAAATCATACACACATGCATACAGGCATACATGTTTGCAAACTTGTGCTATCTATATACAATAATTTACTAGATTACTCAGTTGCATTCCCATCACCCAGGGGCAGATTTGAAGAAGATGTTCTTGGAAAGTGGGGGCAACTTTGACCTGGTGGAGCTTAATGTGAAAAAATGGGTTGAATCGAAAAAGACTTCAACTGACCTTGAGAGCCGGGTCACCAAACGCCAGCTTCGCGAGAAGTACTTCTGGGACGAGGCCGGGGGTACTCTTTGATCCAGTTCATGGTCACACATGAATGCATGCATGTCTGTATATTAACATATGACATAAAAATGTTGGCGTGCATTGATTACACCTGTACTTGGATACCTGCAGGAAATGATCGAGAACACCTTTAAATGGGCCAGGGAAAACAACAAGCTCTTCAAGCACCCCATTTCGGGTGGTGAGTTTGTCGACATAGATGTTGAACATCTCAAGAAGAATGTGAACGAGACGGGCAGCAGGCTTTCGCAAAGTGCCACGGCTCACTATGAGGCCTGGTTTGTGTATGCGCATGTGCTTTGGTGTTGTGATCACACATGAATGCACGCATGCCTGTTCATTTGTGCATCCATCCATGCTGGCTGAGGTGTAGCAATTGTGACTAAGCAAAACATGGCCATCAACCATTTTTCAACAATCATGCAATGATGTTTTGATATTTGCGTGTTATATTTTCCTGGCTTCAGGACTCGACAGGTTCTTTGCTGGACCGTCCTGAGCACTCGGCGCCAACAATGGCCGACTCCAAGCCAGGTGAGACACAGACTGTTATGCCTGTGAACCTTGGCCAGCTTTCTTTAAACATGCATGTGTGCATGCATGGTCAAGATTGTAAAAGCTTGCTGCTGCTTCTGTCATGCTCAGGATGAAAGGAGCACCAGAGAAAACCCCGTTCCCGACAGTGTCGCAGACTACCAACCCCTTCCAAGTCTTGCCTCAATTTCTCCATATCTTGGGCAAGAAGATTGATTCGGCAAGTGCGGTTAAGGCGAGGTGTTTGACACAAAGCTCAAACCATGCATGAGAGTGCTCACAGGTAGTTTTCATGCATGCATGCATGCATGTTGGGCAGGAAAAAATAGAACCGCACAAAGACTCGAAACGGGCTGGAGAGCAGCTTGATTTATTGAATCAAAACCATGCATGGTGTGAAAAGTATATATGTTTCTGGCAGCTCATTTTGTTAAAACAGTCCTGATATATCATTTGCCCCACTGAGGCTTTACGACGGTATCGACAAGCCGCTGAATGTGCTGGCTGCAGAGAACATGAAGCTGATTGAGCTGCAGTCCAACTCAGTGGCTGCCACCCCGACAAAGTGGGCCTGTCTATTTTTGAAATATTACTTTGGGACACAAGCATCAAAACCTTCCGGCCAGGGACGACAAGGAGCTCCTGCTGAAGACTTTCATCAGCGTTTCAAAGGCAGACTGTGAGATGAATCTCTACTTGGTGCGTGCAAGGCACTGCCCTCAAGCGCATGTGTTTTTGAGCTGCGATGTGTTCAAATGGATCACGCAACATGTTTTCAAGAATTCTTGCCTAGGTCTTGGAAACCGCCTGAGACTGAAGAAGCCAAAGCTGCAAAGGCAGCAGAGCGCGCAGAGAAAGCCAAAAGGAAGAAGGAAAAAAAACATGCCAAAGAGGAGCCAGCGGATGTGAAATCGGAAGAAGAATCCGACGAGCGCAAGTTTCTTGACATGCATGAAGTGTGTGGGTATGGTGTGCATTATTTGAATGTTTCTTCTTGGCATCTTCATCTTGACTGGCCATGCATGCATGTAAGCCAAGGGTGAAGAAAGCAAAAAAAGCAAAGTGAGTGCCAACATTCATGATCCATTCATGTTGCACGCATGAGTCAGCATACATATGATGGCTGCGTGTTAATTTTGACAAAAGACCTTGACAGCAGACCTGGGGGTGCGCACGAAAAGTGCATGCTGCCGCTATGCAAAGCTTGTTGTTTTGTGCATGCATGTTTGTCTGCAGTTTTGCGCTGGCAGATAGTTGCTGCATATATCGCGCATGCATTGCTTGTTCTGGGTTTGGTGCACAGGCCTCATGGATGATTTGGAAGGCAAGTTTGTATCCAACCTTGATGTCCTATGATGTCCTGTGGTGCTTCCTGTGCTGATGCAGTGGCCTGTTGCTGCAGGCCATCCGTTGCCTGCTGAAGGCTGAGATGACTGAGATGTGTTTCATTCAGTGCAATGCATGCATGAGTTTTGCACACATGCATTTTCCCTACAAATAGTGCGCACGCATGATTCGCCCTGTTTTACATGCACGGACTGAGAATTCGCAGGAGAGCACGCGAAGAGCTCACAAAAGAGAAAAGCCAAAGAATCAACTTCTGAGAAAGGACGCCGAAAAAAACATCGACTTAACCAAGATCATGTCGATGACAACGAATGTCGTGCTTAGCTTGGGCCATGCCTCTTTTGTGCATGCATGCATGCATGAACGCATGCACCATCACCCAGTATATAATAGTCATGACAGTGCACTTCTTGTCTAGCTGAGGTGTTGACTTGGCAACTCCATACCACATGCGAGACACAACATATGACTTGGACCATATAATTCTGGATGCGATGCTTGAAGGCTTTGACACTGGAGCTCCTTGTGCTGAAAACTGTTCACCATGCATGCATGCATGATGGAAAAATGTTTGTGTGAAGTTTTGTCTGTGTGTGTGCATGCATACATGTCAAGTGGAGCCCAGGCCGATTCTGCACGACATGTGGTTTCAATGGGGCAGCTGTTTTCTTGCATGCGCACTCCGTCCGGGAGCAGAGATCTTAGCATGTGGTGTGGCTGTGCTTGCATGCATGTAGTAAAGCTAAGATCTTGACAAGCAAGAATGTTACCTCTTTAAGTATCTGGTGCTGCAATTTGCTGCAAGGTCCAAGCGTCTTGCTTTCAAAAATGAAGAGCTGGTCTTGCCCGGCAAATTGCTCGCGCAACCTGCACAACCTCATTTTTCGATTCAACATGACTTTACCTGTGAAAATGGTGCACTACGACCTTCCAGTGAAATGGAAGAACCAACATGTCATGATGCCATGGCCCGCGCTTCCCTTTAGATCTTGGCTGGACTGCATCTTCAAGAAGACCCATGGAGAGCCCATATTGGGTGGTCACAAGGTGACGGAGCAAGATGCTTGGAAAGCCATGTTACGTGACTACTGGGGGAAGTTCAGAGTGGTGAAGGGGCATCACAATGTCTTTCAAGACCACCTGCATGAGTTGGACTGCTGTGTTCCTGTTATGGTGCATGGTGACGAGGGTCGTGGTAAGTTGAGAAGGGCGGTGAGTGTGACAAGCCTGCAGCCAGCACTTGTTCCTGATGGGCACGCTGGGCATAGCTTCAACTCCAGGTTTTTACATTCAATCATGCCTGGAGAGCTTTATACTGGGGACTTTACCATGTCAATTTTGCAAGAAGCACTTGTAGAAGAGTTGAGAAATCTTTACACTGAAGGATTTGAAGTTCCTGGCCGCCATTTCAAACAAATGTTTTGCTAAGATTTGTTTAATGCATGCACGACATAATGTTTACAACTTTACTTCTTGCCGCTATCCAAGCATGCATGCATGTCAGGTTACTGCAGAAGATGGCAAAAAACATCGCCTGTTCATTGTCTTGGTTGGCGTCAAGGGGGATTGGGTTTACCTTCGCACCTTGGTCCTTTGGGTGCTGCAATGTTGAGTTGGATTTTGTCTATTTGGCATGCTTGCACACTCTGTGAAACTAAGGCAAATGTCACCAACTTGAGTCGGGGTTTACCTCGAAAAGAAAGTGTCACTACTGCAGTTCGCGTGCGCCTTGCCTAAATTGTTTTGAAAATGCATGGTTGCATTTTGAAGTTGCTGTATGTGGCCTCTGTGGCATGTTCCTGTGAACCCATTGATTGCAAAGCCTAGGAGTGGTACAACATGAAGCGGACGGCTGCCTGGGTCACGGAAAGGCCATGGACTTCAGCAGTGAAACAGCCTGCGCCTACCTTGCACACCCTACCGGGGGGTGGGCCATGTGACAGCCCCCCTGACCAAATGCATACATGGCATCATGGTGTGGGAAGAGAGTTTTGCGCTTCCGCCATTGTATCTCGACTCATTGCAGCATGCCAGGCATGCATGATGTATGTGGCTCCAAGTCTAGCATGAGTATTTTGCATGCATGTGAGGTACTTCTGGTCTGTCGATGGCATTTCTTTCCTGGTGCCAACATCGAAGAACGCCTTCAACATGCATATGATTCTTTCCACAACTGGTGTGTTGCTGAGAAAAAGGGATCTAGCCTGCAAAGGTTTGAACTAAAGACCTTCAAAATGACATCGCACCTTGACCTGTGTACACATGTTTTTTTTCGTGCTCAAGTGTTGGGGTATGTGCTATGTTTTTTATGCGCCCAAAGAATGCTGAAGGAAACCATTTTTGACACATGCATTCACACTAAGGTTGCAGAACTGGCCTGGAGGCTGTGGCAAAGCTCATGACACCACGGTACTTTCCCAGTGGCTTCTGTCTGTGTTGCAAGGGAACTTACGAGAGAATCATGAATCTCAGCTAAATGAGCAAAGAGAGGCAACGATTCAAATGGACGCATGCATGTGCAAACATGTGTCTTCAACTTCTCGCCCAGAAAGCTCCTGCTGATGGACTGGCTTTGCTACGATGGACTTTGGAAGCTGTGGACGGTTTCTTCAAATTATTGGGCAAAAGGAAGATATGGCTCCCGAGAAGAACAGCAATCGCATGTGTGAACTATTGTCAGCAGTTCACAGAACCATGGCATGCATGTAGCATGATGTGCTTGCATTCATGCATGCATGCATGCATGCATGTTTCGTGAATTTTCTGGAGTTGATGTGCCATGCAGTATGCACACTTAGGAAGGCTACAGTGCTCTGAACAGCTATGCTGTTTCCCGTTCCTGGAAGTTGTTCAAGATAAAACCAAAACTGCATATGCAGCAAGAGATAGGGTGCCTATGCAGCAACTTATGTGTGCAACATGCGCAGCTTGACAGCATACATCACTAGCATGCATAACATGACTGAGGCTCTTCATGGATGACCAGCTCAAGCTTGGAGCGGAATGGGTATATAACCCCATCCGCTGCTTACATGCATTTCAGCACTGCGCGCTTGCATCCTAAATGTGCAAGTTCTGGGTTCTGGGTTTGTGCCTTGAGGCTTTGGAACATGGCAGGATGAGGACTACATAGGAAGAGTGCCCCCCTCAACTTGTATGCATGAGCTGAGCTGTTTGAATGGCAATCATACATGGTAACTCCGTGCATGGTTTTTGTTTGACACTGGCGCTTGATGAGGTATGTCGTGTGACGCGAAGATGTCATGCATTTGGGATTGCTGTGCGAACAACAACAGGTTGTTTGAGCCACTCCCGACGTTTGTGGCAGAAGAAGAAATGGTTCCGCTAAAAAAAGACATCTTTCAGCGACCATGGTGTGCAGGTTATCATATGTGGGACAAGAATTTTCCTTGCATGTTGTAAGGGGCACTTTGTTCGAGCACTTTTTTTTTGAACATATGAAACGAGCAGAAAACAAGTAATCGGCCAAAAAAAAAGCGAGCACTTTTTTTAGGTACAAATGATGCTTCAGGAAGCTGTGGCTCCTCCGGCTCGGTGGCGACCCGCAATGCAGTGCGTGACGATGACTTCGCCGCAGTACAAGGACTGTAAAACCAACGGCCATAATTCCTTCCACGCCTCTGCACGCTCTGATGCCACGGCCACAGGGAATCGCCTCAGCAGCGCGTTGGGCAGCACCACTCCATTCCGCGCCTCTGGCCTCTCTGTGAAGCATGCGATCTGCAGGGTGGCCGGTGGGAACCGATGTTTGTTGGCTGCCGTTGGGAGCCCTGCCAGCCACAACTGGCCCCCTGAACTCATCTCCAGAACCTTGGTTGGGGCCTGAGCATACTTCCCTTTGATCGTTGCAAGGCGATCCCAAATAACTTCTTCTTGGGGTGGATTCAGGGTTGCCGGCATAGGAGGTAGCACGAAGTCCTCGTCCGCCGGGATGTGCGCTGGCCGCTCAATCACCATCCCCGACTCATGGACCTCAAGCGCAGGCCTGGATGACGATGCCTTCGCCACCGGCGGCTGCTTGGGCGTGGAGGCGCCACCCGCTGCTGCTGTTCTCTTGGCCTTTGGTTGCGGCTGCAGCTTCGGTGCCGCTTTAGCTTGGGCAGGAGCCACCGCAGGCGCCTTCGGCGGCGTCACCGGCGCCCCGGCCTTTGGTGGGGTTACCGGCGCTTCTTGTCTCCTTGCCCGCTTGGCCAATGGAACTATGCTTTCTGAGGAGCTCGATGATGTGCCGCCTGGTACTGCCTGTACCGTGGCCTCTTCCTGAGTGGACGGATGCGGTAGCACCGGAGATGTGACGGTACCCTCCGCCAATCGAGCCTTCTTCGTCCAGCAGACGTGGGCACCATGTTTGCCGCCACATGCCCGTCCAGTTCTGGATACAACGGCACAAACGTGGGCTTCCGGGCACTGCTCCTCCTCACACTTCCCAGACTGAAAGAGGGCGCATAGTGGGGTCCCGTTCCTCAGGAACTTAGTGAGCAACTTCCCCCCTATGGCCGGGGGCATTGCCGGGCGGCCTGCCCTAGCGGCCTCTTCCTTGGCCTTATCTCTCTGCACGAGGGCCTGCTGAACGAAGTTGAATGACCTCTTCACCGAGGTTGGCGATGCCTTCGCCTGCCATTTAGTGACCACGTCCTGGTTGATCTTCTTGGCAACCGTTGCTTCTGCCTGCACCACTGCAGCATGCAGATCATCCATTGGGATCACTTCCCAAGACTCAAACTTGGTCAAATTGGCCCTGATGGCATAGGCCATGTGCTTCATCCTTGTTGACATGGCCTCTTTGGAGCCGGCATAGTGTGCTGGCATCTTGGCAGATGATTTGACCTCGTCTGTCCAGTCTCCTAATGCGTTCAGCTCCAAGTCCGTGAAGGTCGAGAGCAAACCCACCGTAGGTGCTACCCGTCGCCATGTGTATGTTGTGATATTCCTTGCATCATCGACATGGTTCTCGAAAAGGAGCTGGGCCTTCTTCTGGACCTCCGAGATGGGATAGGGGATCCCTTCCCCGTCAAAGGCCATACCACAGGTCTGCTGCTTCTCTTCGGGCAGCTCTTTGATGGCATCGATCACTCTCTGAGCCCACGGAAAACCATTGGTGAACTCGGCCGGGGCTGACCAGGTAAATCCATTCCTGGAGTGTGCCTGCTTTCCCTGCGAGCACCAGGCATGGATAGTAGAGGCAGAGAGCCGCTGGGGGGAACTCTTGGTGATGTGTCGGTGCCGCAAACATCCGACAGCACATAACCAGTTGGCTAACAAGGCCATCCATTCTGGATTGTTGTGCTCAGCCGCAGTGATGATGCCTGCCTCCAAGAAGGGGATCATGCCTGGCTCGGCAACCACTGCCTGCTGCCGCTTCCGCGTCCTCACATTGGTTGCCACTGGAAGCTGGATGTTGGTGAGGTTCCACCCCATAGTTCCTGCTTTGTTGAGCCACTTCAGAGAAGCCAGGGCCCTCGCTGGGCCGTCTGTGCCATCCTGAACAAATGATGCCAGGTCCAAGTCCTCGACCACTTCGAGGCCCCTGTCCTCCTGGTAATGCGCCAGCTCTTTCCAGGTGCGGATGGCGTTGATGATCGTCTGGCTATCGGCTTGAGTGACTTTCTGTGTGACAACCGCCGCAACTGCTTCCTCCACTCTTCCAGCCGTGCCTCGGTCACCTTGTGGGCCGGCCTCTGCACAGACATTTCTTCGAAACACTGCGCAAGGGACTCCACCCTCTGCACCACTGCATCAGGCCCGTACCTGTTGGTAGACAGGGTCACTCCCTGTCTCCGCTGGATCATTGGCTTCACGGTCGGCTTAGGGACTCGATCTCTTGCTGAGCCAGCGCCACTGTCTTCGACCGCCCTTGCTCCAGCCGCCAGCAGCCCCTCATCAGCTTTGGACCGGGCTGAGGCCCATTGCGCCGCCAGAGCATGCCCACCTGCCGACATGGCCTGGCGTCCTGGTAGTTCTCGAAAGCATAGGCGAGGTCACTATCATCAGCTAACCCGAAGTGTTGCCTCACTTCCAGCGCCCTTTCCATAGTGGCCACTTCCACGGCTTGCTCTGGGTCCCAGGTGCTTGCTTCACCCGCGGCCTCAAGAGCGTACCGTCCTTTGCCGCTCGCCATGGCACCGGCAGCAACCGCGACTCCTAGTTGAGCCAGGGCTGAGAATGTAGATGGAGATGATCTGGCTCCAGCACTCTCCCGTGCCTTATAACCTCCCCGGACCACCCCCTCGACATCCCCAGACAGGACCGACTCATTGCTCGTCGTCAGAGGAGCCGCAGAAGGGGCAGAAGTCACCTCCACGTCTGCATTCCTCGCAGACTGCTCCACCGCAGGTTGGGCAAGATGTGAACGTAGGGATCCAGCAGAGCCGACATGGCCCAGGGATCCATTCCACCTCAGCCTCCACGGCACCCAGGATGCGCCGCACCGCGTCTCCTGCTCGTCGGCGATCGTCGTTGGCCCGCACGACTCCTCCGCAGCCTGTCCAGGGTTCCACCCAGGTACAGCTGCCCCGCTGCCAATCCCTCCATAGCTCGAAGAACTCCTGCATCGTGATGCCGTCACGACACAGGGCCAGCCTGATGAGGGTCCCATGGGCATGACTTGGGATGAGCTGCGCACGGGTAACGCCCGAGGCAACTCTCTGCAACGCAAGGAGTTCAAAAGTCTCCTCCCCGTCATGGTAACGCTCCCACAAAGATTGAGCTGTGTCACCCGCTTGGGCCAAAACAGCCGTCTTGGTCCAGATGCCCACGAAAGGAAACTGAAAACCTCCCCTTCTGGTGTCGCATCGCACACATGGTGACTCCATGCAAGGTATTCTGCACACCCCAGGCAACTCTGGGATCCCCAAAACATCCACATTTGGGTTCGTTCCATTATGGATGACTTCCACAACAGACTCCCAAAGGATGCGCG